AAGGAGTGGCGTCACGCCCGAGCGCTTTCTTCGAGGAGGGCGATCGCCCTGGCATAACGCCGGGGGCTACTGTAGGTGACATGGGACCGGGGGTATCTTGACTAGAGGTTTGGGGCAGCTGCAGTCACCCACGTGGCCTGACCCCCTCGGGGGGGTCGGGCCCGAGGGTGATGTGGCCGCCCCTCCCTCTGTCTCCCCGAGGGGTCGGGCCGCTCCCGTTTCGGCCCCGAGGGCTGGGGCGCCCCGACCCCCTGTGGGTTTGGCGCCACGTGTGTGGGTTAGGTGAGCACAGCGGCGCTCACCTAACCGCGTTTATTGCGGGTTGGACGAGCGCCCCACGCCGCATTTAATGCAGCGCAGCACACTCGTTCGGTCCGTGACAGGTCACAGTGTGTGACCGGTCACAGACCGGTCAGATCGCGGGTTAGGTGGCAACAGGCGGCCTTTCGCACGCCTCGCCCCGTCCCGTCGGAATGATGAGAGCCTCTAGGCACTCGTCCCTAGCCGGAGCCGGCGTGCTGACTCCTAGAGTTAGCACGTCAGTCCCGGCTAGATTCATACCAGGCTTCATCGCAACCATTACAAGGAAGTCATTTTATGAAGAAGGGCTGACGTGTGGCATGCTAAACTGATGCGTGGTAGACAAGAATGACCGGTTTGTGACTGGTCTGACGCCGGTCACGTCATCGGCAGACAACCGTGCTCCCACGTTGCGCCTGCTTCCGGCGGAGTGGAGGTAGGTATGGCCCATCCCATCAGAGGGTCATTCGGACAACAGCCATGGCAAATCTCCGCCCATTAATGAGGGAGTAACAGGGAGATCCCCGGTGTCAGGCGAGTGATGACGCTGGGCCTCACTCAAAGACAAGCTGTGATTTAGCTTCCAGGCGAAGGCGCAAGCCAGTTTTTTCTTTTTTGGGAAGATAGGGTGAGTCCTCACCCAAAAGAAGAGTAGGTAGAAGTGGTGCATGTGGGATCCCCTTGAGATATAAAAGGAGGACCTTGCCCACTTAAGAAGGGGAGAGCTGGAAAAAGAGGGGGGAGCTGGGGAAAGAGGGGGGAGAAGACCTGAGCTCGTAGAGGAGAGAAAGAGGAAGAGGGTTTCTAGAGTTTGAACTCTCTTGCTCTCCAGCTCTTTGTAACTCCTTCATACACAGATCCACCAGAACACAGGAGTAGGGTATTACGCTTCTCAGCGGCCCGAACCTGTCTACATCGCCCGTGTCTTGCGCATTTGCTCTCTCGCGAAACATTCCATAGATCGAGTGCTTAGAACCTCACCTAGCGTCCCCGGCCGAACCGGCAAAGGGGGGCCCGCGCGGTCTCCCGGTGAGGAGCCCCACGCTCCGTCACGCTCCATATGCTGACGTGGCATTGCCATGATGACATCTACATGTCAGTGAAATCCATATGTCAAGCATATATAAAATTAAAATAAAAAACCATATTTTCTCCTCTTAGGTAAAAAAAATGATAAAAATTCTAAGGTAGAGAGAAGAAAATATAATTTTTACAAAACAAAATTGATGTTATTATTATTTACTTTCATATTTAAAAGTGTTAACTTATTACTACGTTTTGTATCACTAGCCTGTTGAGCAATTTTCGATCAAGCTAGTATCGACGGAGGGAGTAATTGCTCCCTCTGTTTAACCATCGTTATATATTTAGGGATGGAAGTAGCGTATTAGTTAGTGATAGTAGTAGGGTACATATATACGGTTAAATCTGCATCTGTATGTATGGCAGCTGGATTAATACATGGAGCAGATCTATCAGACATCCATCAACATATTAATGTCTCGTCTGTATTCTTAAATTGTACACCTACTACTTCAATTCAATACATATAGTCATGCATCTCTTCAATTCAAAATACAATATATATCTATATATTTTGTTTGGATACGATTTTAATCAACAATTGCTTATATATTCTTTTAACATAAAATTTTATTCTATTCGCACTTAGAAATTACCAACTTATAATTATGTTTTTACCATATAAATGATATAGTAATAGAAAAAACTGTTAATTAAAGTTTTATCGTAATAAAATAAATATATCTTATATTTTAAAACGGAGGGGATACGCAGCTATTACTCCAATCCACTAGCTACCGCTACTAATAGCGCAGCGCTGCTATCCATTAGCATCCTTCCTAGTATTATCTATGTCCAGATTCATAGCTAAAAATGCTTACATTTTTATTGACGGGGGATACTCGTAGACCGGATATAAAGGGTATTGGGGTCTGTTGGTACGAGGATCGACGTAGTACGACATCAAGCAAAAAAAAGATAAGGATTATACTGGTTCAGGCCCTTTGATAGGTAATAGCCCTAATCCAGTTGGTATGGGATTATATGATGTAAACCACAGATTACAAAGGAAATAGCAGAACTCGATGATACCGACAAGACCATAGTCGAGTTGGTCTGACTAGATCTCCCGGCGACTTGGCTCCTGCACGCTCCGGCTCCGTAGGCTATGGTGGGTGTGTTGGCAGTGATATTCGATGCCTTAGGTCCTGCCAAGGGGTCTCTTATATACCGTGGGTCAGTTGTTCTCCAAGTAGGACTCGGAGATATCGGACTCCTCACAATATGGTAAAGACTCAGTCTTGTCCGAGTAGAACTCCTTCCATCCGTAGATACTATCTCTATCACGTGATAGATTTCCTTAATGTATACGGAAACTATCCGTATACGCGCGGGTATACCGTATCAGTATACAACGTACATCCAAAGATAGATGGTATATTTTATCCGTAACCTGACAATTTTGAAACTGAGGTAGTAGCTTTTAATTTTGGTCCACTCGTTCATAGTACAAACAAACGTGAAAAACGCAGATGCAGTTTTATATGTGAACACCAACGGCTGCCTGCATACACTTGATGACATCTGCAGCTAGCAGACAGCAGCTATCAGTGCTAGCTCTTGTACACAAGCAAATTAAGATTTTTGCTTACTTTGCAGGGGATCATAGCCGCGTGTTTTCGCTTGTTCAGTTTATTGAAAGGGTCAGTCATGCATGTTTGCAACAGACACAGAATTAACGTGGAGCATATATATATAGCTAGTCAATTCTTTGAAAAACCTGAGATGGAGAAACATGTATAATATAATCTCATAAACAATATCAGAGCCTGATATTGGAGGGAGAATTAATCCAGCTAACATGGACCCAGCTAGCTATAGCCAGTGACAGCTCAAACCATCCAGTTCCCACCTTGCGCAACCACCCGAATACCTTAAACTACCCGTGCCATTAATTATCTATCCCCCAAGATATTGCAACAAAAATAAACAATCATTTTTTAGTATCTGTTGTTTATTTTAGATATGTATGACCATTTCACTTGTGTCTAGATCCTAGCTATATATGTTGCTTTCCGGATTTCAATCTTATGTAGCTTGCTTTCCCGAATTCAATCTGTATATACTCCACCAACCTGTAAAATGTTTTCTTAATTTAGAGAAAGAAAACAAAACTGATCATTCATGGGCAGGCTCATCTCCTCCTTATTCTTAAGAATCAGTATACGTTCATATTGACACCTCACAAGTTTAATTAGCTAGCTCGATCGTGGGCCTTGCTGTTACATCTACTTAAGTTTATATAACAATCCAAGTTAGTAGGATGGGTCTTTTCCTTGGGACGGATCGGGAGTGGCGGATCCAAAACAAAATAGCAGTAGGGTCTGAGCAAACTAAATAGAGTTACAATCCTCCTTCCATCTACATATGGTAAAAATTTTAATGGGATCTTCGTGGGGGCTCTCATAGTCTTCACGTCAGTAGTGGGGCTCGAGACCCCGCCGCCCCATGCTGGATCCGCCCCTGTGGATCGGAGGGGTAGCAATTTAGTACTACATCAGATACATTTTAATATTTTATTATTTTTAATATACAGTATTAATTCAATTATAGATTTAAAATGAAGAAAGTAATTAGTCTATTCTAGTCCCAAACGAACGAACTTGCTGGAACGCACTTGTGCAGTATGTTTAGAATTTAATTGGGGGTAGTTAACTGCTATCGGATGGGAAGGTGTTCGTTAGTTAATTAATACTTAATGCCCCATTTGTCCTAAAATATAAATAATTTTAGGTGAATGTGACATATTCTAATATTATGAATCTGACATAGCTTATAGAATCCATTTAAAATCTTTTATATTTTAGGACGGAGGGACTAGTATCAATTTCATTATGCTCTTGATTTTAAGGAACTCTGCTGCTGCTCTTCTAATTGGAGTAGTGAGTTCCCTACCATTGACGCAATTTAATGTAAAATACTAGTTTATGTTATCTTGTAAGTAAACAACTGTATGTTATCTCTGATGATCTTACACATGGCACAGGTGAACCATACATAAGTCCATAACTCACACATGGCATAGGTGGACCAAACTGTAACACTCTACGTATGTGAGATAGATTTTCCATCCTTTAAAAGAATATCCTCTTGTTTTGTACATATCACTAAAAATATTAAAATGTTTTAGAAAAATAACAATATAGTCCATATGTGATATATCACTTCATAAATATACACGTTAAAATTCACCTTATACAATTTAAACCAAAATAATAAATTTAATTACAAGTAGAGTACTATTTGTAATTAAATTTGTTATTCTTTTATATAGGTTGAACTTAAATTGTATATTTGTGGATTGATATATCATATATTAATCTATTATACTAAATTTTTAAAAAGATTTTATTACTATTTAAATTACAGATAAAAAAACAATTTTCCGTACTGCGTCTACGTATACTCTCCTCTCTCTCTCTCACACACACAGAGATACATACAGATGGTGCAGGCAATAGCCAAAGTCAAGGTCTCGCCATCAACTTGCACAACAACATTGATATCTGAATTAAAAAAAGGCAAACCCCACACAAGACGCATGGATTTATTTTACTCCCGATAACGAGAAAAAAAAAACACACATATGAATGCATGATAGAGGCAGCTCGATCGGTCCAGTATAAAAAAGCCTTCTTGGCTGTTCCGTCTTCTTGGGCGTAGAGCCAGCTATCTATCAGCCACCGCACAACCCACAACTGGCCTTCAGAAAGGGAGGAAGAAGATGATGGAGGTGGAGAAGCCATGGGAGTTGAAGGAGGATGTGGAGATCATGACGGAGGAGGAGGAAGAAGACGACAGCAGCAACCTGCTGCAGGCCAGGGGCAGGAACAAGAAGCACGCGCTCATCAATGGAGATGAACAACAACAACAACAAGAAGAAGAAGAAGAAGAAGAGGTTGTTGAGGAGCACAAGAGCGTCTTCTTTGATCCAACCCAAGGTAAGAGATAATCTTCATTTCTCACTCCTCTGCTCAACTGCTTTCTTCTGTCTTTTATTTATGTGAAGAACAACTCACTACTAATAGTAGTGATGCAACCACAATTAGTACCAATCAATTTCCTTTTACTTCTTAATTAATTCCTTGATACTACTGTTTCTTTGGGGAGGGAAGTAAGCTAAGCCAACTCCTGTTGCATTGTAGCTGTGCGCCTTGTTGCAAATTCTATTACCTTCAACACTGATTTTATCTCCTGCCTACCTTTCTTCTCCATTTCTTTCATTCTCTCTCTCTCTCTCTTGTTATTTTTGTTAAGCACAAAAGAAACAGACTTTTTGAAAAGGAAAAGGAGAAGAAAACAAATGGGCTAACATGGGGGACGCATATAAGTTATGGTTAGGACAGAGATAGACAGATACCACCAACAGCTACAGCCCTGCAGATACTTCGTTTTGCAGGTCCCTTTCCCTCATCCAATCATCTTTTCTTCGCCCACAAATTTCAGCGAACATCATGTGCCCTACGTGGCTGATGATTGTGCAGCTCCTTCACTTGTTAGACTTTTTTCGTGTTAGGCAAAAATTCTGTCTAGTACCTGTCATGTCACTTTTGGAAGTACCTTTAAGAAAAAGGATGTCTTTTATGGTGAATTTGATGTTCTTGTTTAGCATCTTCCATTCCATCTTCTAGAAGCTCCCATCATTAATTTGATATTTGGGGGAGGAGATTCAATATTGTAAGCTTGTTATAAATAGATGGGTTTATACTTTTGAAGAAATTAACCCATCAGCTTGTACAGGCTTACAATTAAGATTTTTAGGCTGGCCTTCAAAGACATGGCATCGGATCTTTGTAATTTATATAGTTGATTTCTGTACTGCAACATTATTTATGTCTATTGATTGACTAAACCAAATACCAATTGTCAAGGAAAATCATGGCTAATTAATACTTGTCAATATATGCAGTTGGCAACAGAAGTAGTCTAAGGATTAATATCTTTGCTCTTTTTATATTTATGGATATAGATGCCGAATTTCTATCCATTATCTAAAAAAAAGCAAGCCTATTCAAGCTTCCAACATAAATTCACTGATAGATTGGAAACTTTAGATAAAAGAACACATAAAAAATCCTACTTACAAAATCACATGGTAATTTTCTCTTTCTTCCAAGGCTACACTTCATCTTCTGTTGGAATGTTAAATGTGTATCCAATGGAACATGATTTGCTTGTGCAAGTGAATCCATAGATAAATACTACTGGTAGCAACACAAGATACAAACTTTAGGACATCTTTTTCCCCCTCTTTAAACATTTAAAGATAGTCATTTATTTCTTTGCTGAAGGGTTATGGAAGTGCCGTCACTGCGATTGGACATACCTCTTGAGTGGTCCATCCAGAAATGTTATCCTGAATCATCAAGGGTATTGCCAAATCACGACGAATCTTGAATCGTTAGTTCAGAGTGAATCATTTTACAGTTCACCAAGCAAAGGTTAGTGTTGAGTATTCAGAAGCGTAGGATAATAATGGTTAGATTTCTAAAGCTTTCTTTAAAACTGAATAAAATAGTGATGGCAAAACTAGGTCACTAATCATGCTTGCTAAGGGAGGCTTCAGTTTTGGTTGTACCGGCATTGAGCTAGTTCTGCTTCAGTTTATTCAACAAACCTGAGAGTCTAGCTTGATCTGTTTAAGCTCTTGTAATCATTCTTTGAAGCTTTTTATGCACAAAATGAGCATGTCACTGATGATGGAAAAGCTGGTAAAGTTTGAAGTATTTAATAATATTGCCTTTTTCTCTATTTTCAGTTTCTGAGCATGTTACTGAAGTAAGTGGTAAGAATGAAGTTACAAGAGTGGAGCAGTTCGTTGCTAAAAAGGAAAAGGCGCATGAAACATCAAGTTCAAAGGGAAAAGAACTTGAGACACAGGAAAATGCTAATTCTCAAGAAACTAATGAAAATTCTAATAACAGCAGTTTGGAGAACAGATCACCTTCAAATGGTTCACATGAAGTCTGTAACAGTGGTGAAACAGTTACAGTTGCAAATGGAAAAGCAGGCTTGAAAGTGATCACAATCATTGACAAGAACCAAAACGGCCTGGCAAACTCAAATGGTTCTCTTCACATTGCCAATGTCAGCATGAACAAAACTAGTGTCCATGAAATTGAAGCTGAGAAGGATGAAGATGTCATTAAGGGCAAAGTGAACATTGAAGAGTATGACCTTGAGAAAATTCTTGATGAGCAAGAAACTCATGACCTGTTCTGTCCCAATTGCAACTCATGCATAACTCAAAGGGTGATTCTGCGGAAGAGAAAAAGGACAGTAAGACAAACATCACCTGATGAACCACCAAAGAAAACACAGATTGCAGAGCCTTCTGCTAATACTTCAAATCAGACTGTACCTGAAAGACAAGGGCAAGAGTCACCTGACATATTCAGATGTTTATCATGCTTCGCCTTCTTCATTCCAACAGGTATCATTTGGGGAAGCGCTTGTAAATTGTAATCACGCATTCATCACCTGAAGCTTAGCATATTTGCTAAATGAAATAGAAATGTTATTTAGCGTATTCACTAAAAAAAATAGTAGAAATGTTACTTAGAATCATTATACTTGTGTATACAGTTTCAGATCCACCATACCTGCACTATTTATGCACAAAGAGCCAAAACTGAAAGTCTCACATGATTCATTTCATTCATGATTCAGACATTGAGTTGGAGGCAGGAATCTGCCTTTTTCGACGATGCATTCCTAGTTCAGTTTTAGGATAATGTCTTGGTTTGTACAGGTGTTTTTTGCCGGGCCGGCCAAGATAGGCCAACCAAATTTACTAAGATTGATGAATATGTACTGGTTTGTACAGGTGTTACCTGACTATTTCATTTCAAAGACCAGCTTAACCTGTTTGTTATCACCAGGTTGTGGCTTTAACATATTCCGTATATTTGGAAGGACGGAAGTGAACCAAGAAGCTCAGGTACAGGAAGCTGCTGCATCAGGTCAGATGTCTGGCTCCGACAATTGTGCAAGTTGGCTTTTTTCTTGTTTCGAGCCTGGAGACGGTCCAAAGAAAACTGATGCAGGTATGTAATCTGCAAGGCATGCTGTACTTACTAGAAGGCAGTTACTCTACATTTCTTGAATTTCTCTGAACAATTTGTACACATTGCAGGTCCAGAAAAGGAGCCACTATTACCTGACAAGCAGGACTCCAATAATGGTTCAGCTTCATCAGTTGAAGGTAGCACAGCATCCGTTCATAGTCATGGCATAAGTGTACAACAACAAGAATCAAAGAGACCATTGCCAGCTGAGTCATCTTCCCAACTTCAACCCAGCAATACAAAGAAAGAAGACTTCGGAACAGTATCGTTCAGTGGATCATCATCGGTAGAAGCTCCTTCATCGTCATCTGCTAGCATTATCAACCCTGGACAGACCGCGACAGGTTTGTTTATAATAAGACCCTCAATGAACTCGTGAATATGCAATAATTTGTGATAATTGGTAACCAACTGGCAATGACTGCACCTAAAAGTTGAAGCCCCTTATCCAGGATTCCTTCAGACTGGGGAAACACATGTGGTGATTGGGCAGCAGGACATCGTACTGCAACAGAACGTTCCTCTTCCAAAGCCTGGAGATGCAGCTCACCTAGATAAACAGAAACAAGGTAGGCCTGATCAGGATTCGTGAACCATATTGTTTCTTATTTCTAGTAGAAGATGAATCATGCCGATGATAGTCTCTCATTTTTTTTATCTGGTCTCTTGCAAATTTTGAAGAAACTCCACCAGCAAGCCACACATTTCCTACACCGGGAGTCAAGATCCCAGATGCAAATCCAGCTAAATTTATACCAGGTGTGGTGTGGTTACACCATTATTGAGGAGCCAGCTTTACATATATTGATTGTCGCATTGCATATATGACTTGCAGATGTGGTGAGGCCAATGGTAGATAAACCAAGTCGAGGCATTGTGATTCCTCCTGAAGCAGTTGAGTCACAAACTCGACCTGAGCATTCATCAGTGCAAATAGGGCCTGATGCGAGCATGCCATTGATTGATACTCCTGCACCAGAGCAAAGGGATGATTGGGACATCCTGAAAGCTATCGTATACGGTGGCCTCGTGGAATCGATCACCAGCCTCTCTGTGGTTTCAGCAGCTGCATCCAGCGGCGCCAGGACATGTAAAGCTTCCTCTCTGTTGTTGATTCTGGTTCCTTCCTTCCTGCATCAGCCATCACATATGTTGGTCGATTTGCAGTGGACATATTCATCTTGGGCATAGCAAACCTCATCGGTGGACTTCCCATCATCTTTCACAGCGTAAAAACTCAAAATCATATCTTGACTACTAGATTCTCTTGAATTGAATAAATTTCTAATTTATGGGGTTTGAATTTAGATGGCTGAGCTGAGAAGCATTGGAGATGTGGATGAGAGGGAGGAGCAGGGCGGTCACTACTGGTTGCAGCTGGGGAGGCGATCCAAGTACCGGCTGCATGTCGCCATGGCCGTGCTGTCCTACCTCCTCTTCGGCCTGCTGCCGCCGCTCATCTACGGCCTCTCCTTCCGCGGCGGCGACGTGAGGGAGAAGAAGATGGTGGCGGTGGCGGCGGCGTCGCTGGGGTGCATCGCGCTGCTGGCCATGGGCAAGGCACACGTGGCACGGAGGCGGAGCTACGTGAAGAGCCTCCTCTACTACCTGAGCATTGGCGTGAGCGCGTCGGGCCTCTCGTACGTCGCCGGCCTCCTCGCCCACTTTGCCCTCATCACCCACCAAACCCCTCCTGCTTCATCCTCCTGGGCTTCATACTGAATTTCTTCTTCTTGTTTGGTTCGACAAAAGTTTTGATGCCTTCCCATTTACAGCAAGCCCTTCGCAAGATCATAGTGTAAAAGCTCTTTTTCGTTGTACCATAGCACCCTTTTTTTTTGTCAATAAACTTTGGCAAGGAAAATAACAAGGTCAGGCTTGCCCTGTTCTTTTTACTGAAGAAAAAGAACATTTTATCTGCCTATTATAGAAATGTAAGCATCACAACTCACAAGAATGCAATGCAGCCAATGAACCAAGGCCACAAGATCGTGGTGATACTATCCCAATCACATCGCCTCATATTTACACACAACCTGAACCTGGAGCTAAACGAAAATTGGAAAAACCAAAAGGGAACATCTGCTGCTGAAAAGAAAAGCCACTACTGCTTTTGAGTGGGTTGTCCAGTCCAGTAAGTCTTGACAGCCACAAGTATCTTCTCAGGGTTGAATGGACCAGATTCGTGATCCATTATTTGGCTCTTCCACCGCATGCCTTCTGTAATTGATTGTATCTTCACTAACACCTCCACCGTGTCCCTGAAAATCACTGTCCCTTCAGGCCTTAGAATCCGGTCCATCTCCAGGAGAATGTATGTTACGTCACACCTGAAACCCATTGTTCAACATTAGATTATTATTTTTACTTGAATTGTTCAACATTAGTTGTCAAGGGAATCATTTTCTTATAATGACTCAAACGCTAACATTGAAATGAACCAGAAACACGATACATTTGAACTCTACAGGGAAAAAAAAGGGACGGTTTAAAGCCTTGATAAACTGGACACACCACACAGTTCTTGCATTACCTGTCCTGATAAAAGCTGAATATTTTATCAGCATGGATGAAGTCATATGTCCTCGGATACGTTGAGAAAGCCTCACACCAGTCTTGGTAGGTTCCAATGAATCCCCTCTCATAGATAATACCAAGGGTGTCATGAGCAGAGCCTGAAGGTACCACGTTCATCACCCAAAGTGGATACTTCATCAATGCAGCTGCGAATCCCCCCATCCCTGCATTCATATCCATCACGTTCCTATATCGCCCCTTGGTTAGTGGAGGAATCAATTTCTTGTAGTAATCCGCTCTCTCTGCCCACACCTTATTATCTTCTTGGAATTTCTCCGTGGTGAGGCCTGAAACTGATCCACGACTTATTCTTGGAGGCACAGCAAATGCTCTTTTTGGCCATTTCTCAAGAGCTCCACCAGCAACCTCGTCTTCACTATTCACATCCGGAAGAGGTGATATGCATGTCTCCATCTTCTTGTACCTAAATCTCAACAAGTCAGTTTGTTTACTGATCAACAGAAATATCAAAAGAAGGCCTTGTGAGTACTATGCGGCGTGTGCTTCTATGTTTCTAGAATGATGAACTATTGTATGAGAGCATGAGGCTTGATCCATAAAGGATTAGATGATGCTTCCTAAACTGTGAAAGGTTGAATTAATACTTCATGCATTTAAGAACAAATATAGCCATCGGGTTACATTTTGTCTTGTAGCCAGAGATAAAGTCACACAGAATTTTCAAATGAACAATTGGTTGGTCGTATATGCTAAAACATTTTCATTTTTTAAAAGAATGGGAGAATCACACTGGTGTCTCACTAACATATGGGCCCAAAGCCCCCACTTGTCAACTTCAATTCACACTGAGTGGCATATTGATATTATAAAAGAAATTCAGTGGTATAGCCTGGGTTAATCCTTAAATTTCAAAGAAGCAGGCTCGTGAAAACAATAACATGATAAATCAGTCCAAAATATCTATTTCAGGACAGCAAAAAAGACAAAGTATGTACTTCGAAAAAATAAGCTTGTTCAAGTACAGAAGATGGGTGCTGCAACTAGTAGAGAATATGCTTCACTTAGACGGAGTTTAACAGAAATCTTACCAAGCAGAGTCAACATCATTGCTCTTGCAAATCTGAGGGGTTTCATAGATCTTCCGACTATTAACACACTCTATGTGGTTGATAGGTTTCTGCCATATAGCAAGATCATCTTTCTCTACCACCTTCTTCCAGCAGAGACGCTTTGCCAAATCCTCAATCTCATCTTGCTCTTGCTTCAGGTCTTCTTCTGTTCTTTCCCAGCCCTTGAAGTACTTCTTCCAATGGATTGGAGGCCCAGAGAGGATCCAGTAGCCTCCTGGTCTAATTACTCTGTCTACTTCAATTAGATAGATACCATCTGTTGGAAATAAATCTTAAGAGATTAGCCCTATTATATAGTTATTACTGCAGCTGTTGTTTATGTAATAATACGATAAAGAGAATACACAAAGATTGAGATAAATGAGCTCACCAAACTTATTCCATGGGATCAAACATCTAGAGCAGTGTGCCATGTCAAATGATCTAGCAGGGTATGGGATTCTTTCCGTGGATATCACTCCAATCATGGCCGGCACTCCCCGCTCCAATGCAAACTGCACTTGTGCCTCATGTGAATCTCTAGGTGCAAATGACATAGTGATGATGTTCCTCTTAATAAGATAAGCGCCCCAACTTGCCACCTGAACAACATCCAAGATACATTCATAAATCCTAAAAAATTTGCAGAAACACATAATATCTTGGAAATTGCTAAATCACTCACCCCACATCCAGTATCAAGCGCAGTTCTGATGTTGCCGTCCGTTAATGATATGAGAGCGTTGATGTCATCGATATAGGCATCAGCACCATGTGGGAACATTGTGCCGCCTCCAGGGAATCTAAACCGTTTCCCCTCAACTTGAATCCAGTTCTGGACAGCTTTCTCGATACTAAGCTCCCGATGAGGAATGTTATCGTACCAAGCAAAATCCCGACATTGTGGCCACTTGAAGGGATTCTTATACTTTGGTGGTGCAGGAATCAAGCACCGGAAAAGCTCTTCTTTCCGAGGGCAGTGTCTCTCCCTGTACTGCATCATTGTCTTTGGGAATTTCCTGGCTCTCCTTGGATCTTGGCAAGGGGTATACTCGCTGTATTTCAGCTGACAAGGTGGGAATTTTTCGGCGACAAGTGAAGATTCATTGAAGCTCACCTGATGGTGGGCTTGGAAATCAAGACGAGCGTCTGATGATGACCGTCCAGACGAATTGCTGGAGGTGCGCAAAATGGATTCACCACATTGGCTTTTAGTGTAGATTATGGATGGGTGTATACTAGTAGTTGAAGTGCCTTGCCAAGCACCAAGAATGTATGATGCAACACAGAGGCCAATAACACCTATGGTTAACGTTACTCGCATCCTTTGGAACACTGGCTGCCTGGGCTTAGGGGATCCACTCTGCTCTTTTGCCATTACACCTGCAAGACAAGGGGCGGATCCAACAAACTGTTACTACTAGTTGTATTAAGAGAGGTTTAAGGAGGAGAAGAGCTTCTTCCAGACCTAGAAGAGAAGCTAGGGTTAACGCAAGCAAATTCCAGATGTAAGTACTCCTGGTGCTCACCAGAAACATGAATCAGAAAGAGGATGTGGATGCTCACCAGGATTCCCCTGGCGCAGATGGAGATCGGCAGCCGCGACTCGTCCTGCGCGAGGAGCGGAGGAGACGACGAGACGCCCCGGGAGATTTTTCTCTTTCTTTTACGCCGCAAGGGAATGAAGGGTACTCCACTTTTATCTTTTTTTTTTCCTTTTTACTTTATTAAAACTGCACTTGCAAAGTTTGGGAGGGACGACTTCTCATCTATGCTAATATTTCGAAATTTTCGATCAAACTTTAGAAATTTTCATCTCAAATCTATTTCAACCATAGGACAAAATTATACCGTATTAACTGAACGGTGATGATATAAATTAAGCAAAATATGAATATTTGGGAAAGACAAACTAAATGGCTCCATAAAAATATTTTTCTTTTTATAGAATAGGGTATTGTGCAGTATAAACTAGAGTAAATTTTGTGAAGAAGACGAGAAAGGTTAGCTCTTTTCCAGCCAAAAAGTAGATTTTGTGAAGAAGGAAAGGTTAGCTCTTTTACAGCTAAAAGAAGGGTAGCAGACATGGGAATGGGGTTCAGCCTCAACTTTTTAATTTTTTTTTCTCTGGCCATTCACAGCTGCCGCAAATAAGCTTTTGGTTTGGATTGAGGCTGACCGACTGCAGCTACGCTGCTGCAGCCAGCACTTTCGATCAAGAGCTCTATCTATTGAAGAAAAAGAAAATCTGCAAATTAGTAGTCAACGCGAATGAAAGAAATGAGGATGAAAGTTAAGGGGAGGAAAGGGGAGGAAAGGGAGAGGGAGAAAAGGCGATCGAAAGTCGATATAGAAGGGCAATCAAACTACAGCCACAGGCAGCTGGAGAGGAGAGAATGAGTGAGTACCTTTGTTGTTGTTGAGTTGGATCCGAAGCGAAAGGGTCGCCGGGCGTTTCGTAGCAGTGCACAAGTTAGAGTACACACAAGTGCACAGGAGAGGGAAGAAGAGAAGAAAGCTAGGTCAGACCCTCGCCATGCGAGGTAAGGCATAGAAAAGCCGACCGTGCCTCCACCTCTGGTAACAAACCAACCAACCATCTCCGGTAACAAAACCAACCAACCAACAGACGAGACGAGTGACCGATTGAGGAAGACGGTGGACCGAGTGAGGAAGACCGAGGTATTTGGGTAATTCCCACCCTTCTTCTCCCCTTTCCGATAATTCCCATCCTTCTTCTCCCCTTTCCTTGTGGGCCAGCCTCTCAACGCATCCACGTACTCTTTGGATCAACAATTCTCACCTTTCTTCTCCCTCTTTTCTTGTTGACCGGCCTCTCAACGCATCCACGTACCCTTTGGATCAAACAATTAGTGCGTGCGCTCCAATTTTCGTTTTTAGACTTTTCAAGTCTTTTACTCCAAATCATATCATTCCATCTATACCTCTTCTTTTTTCCCTTTTTGCAAGGACAAATTTTCGTTTATACCATTATTTTCGCTATAATAAATGTAGTAGCAAAATATATCATTTACACAAGTGCACCACCATCTCATTCTCATCTCAAATCACTAGCTTGGCTAGATGCCAATGGCCGTATGGTATATACATTTGGCCCGTTCTTCACACATCCTGCTGATTCAAATCATCCATTTCATGGGCAACATCTCACATTTTCATTTCATTTCATTTCATATATTCTTCTTCTTCAACACCTACGTACTACTAATTTGCTGCTACAAGAGTCTTGTATGCATATACAAAACCTCAAGGCTGTGGAACCTCTTCCTTCAACTTCTCCACTGAACAGTTCTCACAGATGAATACAGACAACGTCCGTCCATCTCAATAATACAGTCTTCTTCATCAGCCTGAAAAACACCACAAAACAAAAGTTTAGGCAAGACAACTTACCACCATATTAGGTAAAATGAAATGACTAAAATTCTTAACTCGTGTGCTTTACAATAATTGATCGAATGTTGAACACAGGCGCACATACTCCCTCGTAACAATATCGAGATATAACAATATCTGCTCAAGTACCACACAGATGATCAACATATATATGCCTTACCTTGTTCCGTCTTGTGTTCCAACAAGCTGTCCCAGCGGCTTTTCAGGATCTCGTATGCGTCTGAACATGGAAGTGCGATTACACGGGAGCCGCCGTCAGTTGGCAGCTCAATCACCAGCCCCAGACGCAATAGTGTCTCCATAGCTTTGTCAATAGGCATTTCGATCTACAGGGATAACAGAGAATGACTCACTTCACAATTTTCATGATAACCAACCAAACAATTCTAGATGCTCATCCATACCTTCGCCTTAAATTTCTCGTACATAAACTGCTCACATGTATCTCTGATGCTTACACGAGATGACACCTGCATGGGGTTAGCTAGGAAAAGCGATTAGTGACATGTCATGTAGGTCCTAGCCTCCTATACTGTATTGAAAGCAAACATGCCATACCTGATACTTTTTCCTGCACAGTAACATACCATATGCCAAAAGCGCTTCTTTATACTGAACAAAACACTCATTAAGGGAGAACCCTTTCTGAAAAAGCTGATCATATGCACAAAAAAAAACCCCATGTTTTTCTCTGTTAACTGAATCTCACCTGTTGTTGCTCAGAAGCGTCAAGGAGAAAATAAACTGAACCAAATCCACTTGCTAATGTCTTCTCATAGAGCGTTTTATTGACCAGAAGCTGGACAAGAAAAATATTCAACTGACTTCAAAACCTTACGGCAGTACACACTTATTTTTTTTTTCAGGTAAGGAGTTAATACCAAATATATCCATCACACTATGTGAACTACTATATCGTACAATTTTCACAATTTGTTATGCATGCATATGCTAATATATCGATGAATTCCTCTCTGGTGCCTGTTAGGAGGCCACCAAAGCTAAGTACCATCACAAACAACCATGTTTGTTGTAAAATTGCACTAAATTTCTCAAAATCTTAATGAATTTGTCTAGCGGAAAAAAAAATATATCGACGAATTTTAAGTAATCATGTAAACATATGAAAAAGTAATGATTTACCTGGTATCTATCCCTAGTTTGTTTGTAACCCAGCGCCACACGGAACACAAGTATTGCTAGTGCAGTAAAGGCAACTATATCAAGAAGAAAAGCCGATCTGCATCACCATTGGAGAAAGAAAACAATATCATATGTTTTGTTAGAATAAAAAGTAGTCCCCTCAAATCTACTGATGTATAAATTTACATACTTACGGAGATGAGGCTAAACTCTCAAATTTGTAGTTCACGACATAAGCCAACAAACCTATTACGGTAGCAATATCCAACCTTACCTGTGTTAGGGAAGAAAAACATAACTATAGGTGCAGAAAACGGGGGAATAAGAATAGCAAACGGAATAGCTGTATAAACAGACGAAATGGTAAGATCTGTTTTCATGGGGAGGGATAAAATGACAAGAATTACTGTATCTAGGATGCGGAAGGACAACTTCTTGTGAGGAAAAACCACCTGCAACAAAAGTTTAGCCTAGTAGTCATTATGGTTTCGATATGCTCGATTTTGTAGGATGATAGATCTGCGTTGGAGTTTATTTAATCATTTTTTTCCATTTTAGTAGACATCATAGATAATCAAGGCTTGTAAATGGTAAGATGATAGTGCCAGGCGGAAAAAATAGTAGATGATAGTAATCTGAATAGCACAAACAAAATGTGAGACACTATACTTTTTCAATAGGTGTAAGATACTCAGCACACTTACTGGCAGATCAGGGATGGGGATCCTTTCAAAAATTTTCAGTTGCAATGGCATCATGTCTGATTTTTCTCTCTCTTTGCTTTGATCAGCCTCATCAGTATAAAGTAGGATCAGTTCTTGGAATGCTGGTTCCTGACGAAGAACAAGCCAGAATTTAGCATTTCCTTTGCAAGCTAGCTTCTTTAAAGAAAAATATTTGTACTTTTCTGGCATCCTATATAATATAGAATTGTAAAGGATAATAACAGAAACCATTTCAATATTGTCAATTTTCTCACCATAATAGTGATACCAATGTTTAGTCCAAAGGCTGTGTATTCTATACACATTTGAATTGCTTCCTTTACTTTCAATTCATTACCCAAGGTGTAACACAAGTCCATATATGTTGTATAGCAGTACACCTGCTTGGTTTTGTGATTTTGATGTTGGGTTCGAGTACATGGTCAATCAATCATTCAGTCAATATCCCAACAGTCTAAACATTTTTATCATTTAACATAATGAATATTTTATAAATATATGTAGGCACCAAAATTAATTAGCTATTAGTAAGAAACATGTTTCTACAACTCAAACATTGTAGATACCTGAAGAGTAGACTTCCCAAATAAAACACCAAAAGAAGCTTTTGTTATCTCCCAGAGATTGTTGTTACAAGATTCTCTGCTTGCTGGCGCCCATATATTTGCAAGTGTTATTCTTGGCAGAAAATTTGGCCTACAACCAGCGCCTTATTCAGTAAATCTAAAGAGCATCACTTACTAATGTTAAACATATCTCAATAGTTATTTTCCCAAAAGAAAGAACCAAGAAACAAAGTTGAACAATGGTGCTTATTGATGGCTTGCTAATAAATCCAATAAGGTTAAACAAGGGTCTAACCTCACATAGCCTTCAAGATCTTTTGTATCGATATCTGACTTTATTGTTGCTTCTGGCAGAGAAGGGATTAAACCAGTCCAAGCAAGCAATCTTCTTAGAAGTCTGCCACGAGGACCAACTGGTGACAGGATTCCTTCGTAACGAGAGACTGCCCTTTGAGCAGCAATCCAAATAGGAAGATCAGCATCCGGTAATTGATCAGATCTAAGTTTATCCCATGAAGAGTTCTCAATCAACGAAAGCGAATTCTCCGCATAGGTTTGCTCTTTAAGCCAGACTTTAAGTTTTTCAATCCAGATCTGAAATCCCTCATTCCCTGTTGATCTTTTCAATGCCTGCCATGAACTAAATAATCACATACAATTAGCTAAAAATTGTTACATGCACGCAACATCAAACTAGTAGTAATGGGTCTAGCAATCAACCATACTTAAAAGAGTTGAAAAAAGGAGTACAACATGAGTGCCAATTTATAACACAATGCCTACACATAGACAGGATGAGAAGTTGAGAACTGCAATAGTCAAATTGTCTTAAAAATTAATTTATATGCGATCCTAACTTGAATTTTGTTAATAGCCTGGCCAGCTAATTTTGGAATTATCTTTTCTTTCATAATTATTTTACAATTATCTAAAATAGTACAGGGGCTACAGTGATGTACACTGATGTATGTTTCAGACTGTTCACGTAACAACTAAAGATAATGATGTCTTCTGCATAATAACTTTGCCTCTGTATTTAGGAACACAGATCCCAAGAATAAAACAGTTAGAACCATTTGCGAGTATATGTCTCAGGTTATGAAAAGACTAGGTTGAATTCTAACTTCATTTGTGCACGATCTAAGATTGATGCTACTATCTGTTGGTCCAAACCATTCATTGGTTACTACAGTACTGGTCGTGAGTGGAAACTGGGGCAGGTTGAATTGTTAACACTACCAGGACAGCGCAGTATAAGAAATAATTTCTTTTATATGATGAGCAAGAAATTAGCATAACACATTAGGATGGAAAGATTAACTGACCTCATTGAGCCATTTCCCCAGCTTCCTCAAGGGCTTGGAGAAGCCAAAGAAGATATTTTGCAAGAGTTTAGACTGTAGGTAATCAAGCTTTTCAACCAACAGTAGGCCCTTCTGCCTCTCCGTTGCATACCCACGCCTGTGAAGAAAAAGGGTTATATATTCATTCGTACCATGGTGAGTTACATGTGTAGATAGGCTATCAGGTTGCAAAAAGGAAACAAGAGGGGTTACCTGAATATGATAGCATTGGACTCAGCTGCCTTTTTCCAATCGACATAAATGGGCAAAGTCAAGAGGTAATCGGTGTTTAGGGCGTATGTCAAGAGCAGGTCTTGCGCAGAGAGCTCTTCAAATTGAGCATTGCGCAGAAGGTTCATGAAGGAGCGCTGGAAATGAGTTGCAAAAGCAATTCTGGAAACAAGTGCGTGTTGAGTTGAGTTATCAGCATAGGCACAGTATATAGTACTAGTAAGTGGAAGTGAAGAGGATCCGATTAATTGTTACCTGTTGTGTGAATCAGGGTCTGGTGACAATCCCAGGAGTGTTCTGAGACCCAAGCTTCTGGTAAGAAGCAAGGTTCCGTTGTCTGTAATGCCAAAAAAACCAGCAGTGGTGTTGGCGTTGCCGTTGAGCACGGATTGGTCATCGTCATCGTCATCAGCGGCAGCGGTGTGTTGGTGATGGTTGTGGGTGAGCATGTAATAGGTTCGCATTTCCTCGAGCATCTCCTTGTGCTCTGCGTGGAGGAGGGCGTCCAGGCATCTGCCATGCATGTATCATTGAATTGAATTGAATTGGACTTGAAGTGAGGAGCGGAGAAGATGAGCAACGAACCTTGCAAAGCGCTTGAAGTCAGCAGCCGCAGCAGAGGTGGGAGAGGGAGTGGGAGGTTGGGATGGGAAGAGGGAGAGGAGAGCGTCGAGGAGGGCGGGCTTGGAGACGGCGATGTAGCGTTGGCGCGGGACGTGGATGCCGGGGATGGCCTTCCTCCCCTTCAAGTCGAAGTCGCCGTCGTCATCAACAGTGGGTTGGTTCCATGGGTCGGAGTCGGAGCGGAATTGGACGGTGGCGGAGGAGAGCTTTGGGGAAGAGGAAGAGGAGCAGCGCGTGGCCGTGGTGGGTGGTCTGCTGCTTATTCGGACATCCCCAGGAGGCGGAGGCACGGAGAAGGAGAGTGGTGGCTTGGCGCCGGCGCCGGCACGCAGTAGAAGGAGGGGCATCGCCGGCGCCGACGACGACGCACAGCACAGGGGGGGATAACCTGGGCGCGCAATGGCAGGCAAGAGCAAGAGGATAACCCGCCCAACCATGGGTTTCCTGCCACGTCGTGGTATCTTCATGGGCCGGGCCGGGCCGTGGCACGTGGCAACAACGAACGAACGAACGGCCCAGTCTGTCTGATCCCATCCGATTTCCGATGGGATCCCAACATCGATCTCCCCCGCCGCCGCCGCCTTCTGGCTTCTCCCTCCGACTCCGATCCGCCGCCGCCGCCTCCCTACCTCCATCTCCATCTCCATGACCGCCTGCGCCTCCTCCTACTCAAGTCCGGTCCGGCAACAACCTCCTTCACTCATAAAGCCCGGAAACTACTGAGTACGAATTCCCCTCCTCCCTCTTAATCTATCTATTCTATGGCTATGGCTTCAACCCCTAGTTCATCTGTTACTTTCTGCACCGCACAATAACAAGGCTACTGGAGGGAGTACTAATTTTCTTAGATTCAGCCCTTGCTAGTTGCTGCTAATTGCCATAGCAGCCAGCCACAACTCTCTCGCTCACATTACGGCACCATCTTTCTCAACTATCTAATGATTCCTTCTATATTTCCTATATATCACAACCATCGCTACTTTTCTTCTATTCATCTACTCCCCTGCTACATACTTCTCTCCGCAATAATTGAGTAGGATGAAGAGAGAACAAAAAAAATACAATTCCTGTGATTTTATGACGTGGCAAATGAAAACAAAAATAGTGATATCCCAAATAATGGGGAAGGGATAAATTCATAGCATAATGGATGCACATTCTATAGCTACTATTTGTTCTGTGTCTCCTGCTTTTCTCTATTTGTGCTACAAGTATCATACCAACACTTCACCTGCACTTGTTCTTCTACAAAAGATGCTTGTTCTAATCTGGAATTCATGCAATGCACAGAGGGAGACCATGGTTTTTTTGTACATTTTTTTTCTTTGTTTGTAGTCTCACCAAGTGTACGTTCTATCTATTATTTCTCTAGTATTTATCATTTACATTACTTATGCATAGTAGGGAATTGTAATAAGTGATTTCGGTTAAAAAAACTATTGGAATGTACCTAAATGTCTGCTTTCATCTCCATTGCAGGACCTCCTCTTTCACATCTCAAACAGAGTTCATGGGTAGTACAGCTGCAGCGGGTGGTAACCTGCGAACCGCCCTCTCGTACTGTGTGCAGCAAGTTCGCAACTATGATTATCACCACTATCTCTGCCTTCTCCACCTACCTCCAGCTATGCGCAAGGCTGCATTCGCCTTCCGAGCCTTCAACATTGAGACGGCAAAGGCCATGGATGTTGTCTCGGACCCTAAGACTGGCCTTATGCGCCTCCTCTGGTGGAAAGATGTAGTCGACAAGGTCTTTGCAAACAAGCTGGTTGAGCACCCTGTTGCCCAGGTGCTCTCTTCTGTTGTGTCCGAGCACAAGATTAGCAAGCATTGGCTCAAGAGGTCTGTGGAGGCAAGGATAAACGATGCAAACCGGGATGATTATGCCATTCCTGAGACAATTTCTGAATTGGAGAGGTATGCAGAGGACACCCAATCTACCATCCTTTACATGACGTTGCAAGCTGGTGGGATACAGTCAACTATCGCTGATCATGCCGCCTCACACATAGGCAAAGCTAGTGGGCTGCTACTGCTACTCAAGGCTTTGCCTCACCATGTGAGTAAGCAAGGGAGGATACCGTATATCCCAGCAAGTATAGCTGAGGAGTGCGGTCTGCTTACACGGGAAGGTGGCCGATCAGAGGTCAGGATGGGAGATGAGCTCCCAGATGCAGTTTTCAAGGTTGCATCTGTTGCTGATGCTCACCTGCAGAAGGCGCGGGAGCTGGCCTCTTCTGTGCCAGCGGAAGCAATCCCTGTACTCCTCCCAGGGGTACCAGCCCAGGTCCTTCTGGACTCCTTACGACGCCGTGAATTCAACGTCTTTGATTCACGGTTGTCAAGGGGAGTTCATGGGATATCTCCTTTGTGGTACCAGATAAAGCTCATCTGGCACTCGGTGCGGAAGAAGTACTGACTAACTCATCCACACAAGCACCCATAAAGAGCTCGGGTTAGTTGTGTGTCTTTTTTTTTACCAAAATGCAATAAGGTTGATAAACAGATTGAAAAACTCTGACTTGTTGGTTGGTGCATGTATCTGAGCAATGTCGATGTACGTTCCTCTCTAGGATACACAAGTGTTGTTCGAATTGTTCGTTTTGTTTGCGATCCGTTTTTGCACGAAGCAGAGGAATGTAACAGGGTGGATGCTGTTTTTTTCTTTCTGTTGAGTTTGTTGTGCAATTGCTTGCCAACGAGCTACTGGCTTTTTATGCTTGCTAAGCATTGGTCATATTCACCTAGATTGGTTGGTTGATGGGCATTGGGCCTATTTGGTGATGGCAGTCCATTATATTGGGGCCCAAGAGCAGAAGGCAACCGGGCTCCAGTGCAATGTCATTGCATTGCGTGATGCTTAAGCCTGATATTATGGACGTGATGTTTAAGTCAGTTCAGCTCAACAAGTTGGACATGCTCATCTCCCCGTGCAAGAAAACACCATCATCATCCTCTCTTTGACGGACTTTCATCTGCTTTTCCATTCCTCAGGTAATTGCAGTATGGAACAGCAATATTTGTTTACTAATACTCATATGTTTGCTGCAAAAACCTTGTGTGCTGTTTTTCTGCATCATTTCGGGCTTGTTGCTTCTGCAGGATCTGATCAATGTCTTCTTTTTTTCCACGACAAAAAGAACAGATTTGTTATTAACAATGCAGCTTTTTACCACTTTTTGATGAGTAGCAATTTTTACCATTGTAAAGTTTAACAGTTATCAGTTACTACCAGTCACCAAGGTATGCCTAGGTAACTTTGGCAGTTCACTGAAAATGTTCTCAGAAAGTCAAGCAACTATGAGTGCTTGACTTTCTGAGGGCATCAGGAAATGCATAATATTTACTGTCAGAAATCAGCAGGTGCCGTATGGAACAGCTCATGAAGGCAGAAGACTTGCTGTGCACTTAAGCTAATAGTACTCAATTGTGCTGTTAAACAAATATGTCCATTTTGTTTTTTTCTTTCATTTGGTTTAAATGCTGCGGCAGCTTGCCAAACACAAAGTCAAGAAGTAATAAAAAATATCACAATATCATCAACGGAAACTAACAAATGAGAAAAATATAATAACAGGAATTAATCATAGTGTTCAACATCTGATTCGCCATAGCCCTTTAATTCTCTTAAATTTGTTAATATTTGAAGCATTCTCAATGTCTAAGGCGTGCACAAGAACATAATGAATCCTCTATATGAAAATAAAGGTTATTTGCTTCAGTTAAATCATTTGTCCAATTCATTATTTTCACTGCTTCAATTACTTTCCACTGTTCGTTTTTCATGTTGTTGCTGCTGAACTGAATGGAGATATATTCTTCTAGCTTAAGATACTGTGCAACTCTACATCTTTATGGTTTCTACTTGTTCAATATTTTTACCACATCAGGTTCTGAAACAGCTGCTTGCTCATTCTCTATCGTTCTTTATTGAAAGGTTAACCGTGTTAACTCTAGTGCAAGGCAACTAATATATTATTTGGCAAATTGGATAAGTTTAGCAGCCTGCATGAGCCAATAAAGTGAGTAGCAAATCCTTGAGAGGTACTTAGGAGGACAAACACCTGTCCTCACGCTTAAAAGTAACTCAACGTAGCCTTTTCTTGTTTGGGTCCTTGAGCCTTGCCTTTTCTGTGTTTGGTCCCTGGTGGAGTAAACAGCAATCACTGAGGGAAGAAGCATTGTCCCCTTGTTGGTTGGCCCCCAATCCATATGCATGCTTGCTTGCTTCAGAGCTAGTCCCATTATTGTTCACTGTGGCCTGCTTGTGTTGTATCTAGGCAGTGGTCTTCATGTGTGGCTGGGTCTATGCTCGACTCAGTTCATGAGTATATATTGCTGCTGGGTGTGTAGGTGGAGTCAGCTTAAGTATGCATGCCATAGTAACTCCAGGCAAGATACTCACGGCAATTATTGTTGCATTTTCTGTCATTGCAGACAGTAGAATCAGTGTTCCCGATCCAAGCAGCAGGCATCCAAGTTAGAACTGTTCCTTCACATAGTATTTCGGCTTGTTCTTCTCTGATTGTTCAGCCAGGAACCTGACTCACCATTCACCAGCATGTGGTATTTTAGCATGATGAAAGCCTTAGAAACCACGGCAACTGTAAAATTGTTCAATCTTTCATTAAAAAAAACCTAGTTTTTCTTGTTGAGCATGTTCATATATGTCATTATACAGTACCTAGGCATTATATGTATGTCTGAAAAATTAGATAATCAAGTATATGCTTGCATTCCGTGGTTTCTTTATTAAGCTTGGTCAGGTTTGGGGTACAAATACTCATAAGCCCAATCATAGCACTAGGTTTGGAGGTTAGGGTTGAGACTAACCTGAACCAATGTCATTTGAAGAGGATTTACTTGTAGGGCTCCTGGCTTCGTGCCTACTGCGTACCCCTGACCCCAGGTAGAGTATGGATAGATTGAGTTGATTTTTTTTCAAATTGTCAGCTCTTTTCCTTCTCGTGGACTTATATTGAGTCGTGCACTTTCTGTGATTCCTTAAAGCAGTTTTTAAATATATATCTCTTTTGTTGTTCTGCAGATTTACCAAAGCAATTTTTCTAGCATTTTCTCATGGAAGTGAACAATACCATGAAAGTGGTGGGTTGCGTACGTTTTGAGTACAATGATTCGATTAATTGCCGAGACAGGAAGAATAAAATAGATTGATCTTGTTATATTTGGAAATGGTGGGTCTGCATCCATGATTCCACAATACATACTCCTCCAGCTTGGAATGAGCACAACAATGAAGTAAGTATGAGGAGCTTTTTCCCCTCCATTGCATATATATGTTCTCTAAATCTCTTGTGCAGTCCTGGAATGTTAATTAATTATATGTGATGCATGCATCTAAATGCATCATTGTTGAGCTGGTATATGTAGCAGGCTATACATATATATTCTTTAAGTGTGAAACAGAGGAGAGTAATTAAGGGTGGTAGAGGGGTTGCATGATGGGTTCTCACATGAGGGCTTTCACGCAGGCATCATTTTATCTTCCTCTACAAACAAACATCACCCCCTCCCTTCTCTCTCTCTATAACTTAATTATTCCCTCCTTCCTCTCCCCCTCATCTCATCCTCTCATGCCTACCTGGTTCCCAACACCTTTGCCTTTTCCACACCTTTTTAACCTCATACACGCGCAAATAATTATATCATTTATACTGCATTTCCTCCTTTCATTCTCAGAAAGACAGAAGCTGCAGCCGCTGACATGGTGGTCCGTATACTTCATGATACGACACACACATAGACAACTGAGAAGTAGTGAGATGTGTGATGCATGCAAGAGGGAGGGCTGTGCGTCCGGGCTGCATGGCTTGTGCTGGAGTGTGGGGTTCTTGCACTATATAAGCCAGAAGCTAAGTTGGTGGGAGGCATGCATGCATGCCTTTCTTCCTACCTCTTATGCATGTTTGACAATCTTCATCTCTTGAAAAGCAACGGTTGGGAACCATCAGCTTCCAAGGTACCACCACATTGCCGGGGGTTGCTATCTCATCTCTAGCTTTCTGTCTCTAATGCTGTCATCTGCCTACTTGCTGAGTTGCTTCACATCATCCTTTGGACATAATCACCAACATACTCTCTGGTAGGTGAGTTCCATTACTGTTCCGCCTTTGTTTTTGCGTCATTATCCTAATTTCCGTAGGCTTACATAGTTGTCATTTCGTTCTCTGTGTTTTGGAGACGCAAACTTATTTGTCTGACAGTTCAAAAACATATAAACAGACAACTTGGATGATATTTTGCTCTTAGATTCATTAGTTCCCTGTGTAAATGGTTTATGACTCCTGAAAGAACTACATCTATGCTCTCCAGGAAGTACCAGAGTGATATGGCTAGCTAGTTACACAGATGATTTTTCAAACTTCTTAGCACTCTGTTAAGCTGTATGCATACGAGTGATCATGGACAATTAATCTTCTACTGAAGTTCTATTAACCATACATATACTTTGTTAAATTTCTTCTACTGATCCACATGCAACGAGTATTTGTATATGGCCTGTTCAGTTTTTCTTCTCTTTAGCATTCAATATGATTTAATTGAACTGCTCTATTTATGATCTTCAGGAGTTCTTCCATGCATATGCATGCGTCCTTTCTTCAATATATATCTTCTAATTGACTGTATTCGCAGTTTTGAACTAAGTCGATCGTCTTCTAGACAAACTTGTGATGGGCATGTACCACTCTATAACTAAATGAATCTATGATGCCCTGTTGTGTTTCAGCCTTATCTGCATGTTTTTGGCATCATACATTTGCTAGCAGCTGGTCTAGTTGCTTGAGATCATTGGTCTATACATAATAATTAAAATCTAGGTAATAAAACTGCCTATTGTTATGAGAGTCGCTACCATAGCAATAACAGGTAATTGTTGCAACAGCTTGTTTTCTGTTGCATTAAAATCATAATAGCAGTAAATAGGAATCCTTAGTACTTGCCGTGAATTAGCATTTCTTGAACTGATTGTTACGAAATGAACACATGCATGCATAAATAGAAAGACATCAGGTTCATCCCTTGGACTATGCATGTTTTAATTAATAACTGTAGCTACACACTTCTCTATTTTCTCCGACATTTTAATTTGGAAAAAAAATGTAAGAAATGTACAAGGGTTTAAGGAACATGTTTGTAGAATATGTGCATGCATGGTGAAGTGTGCTGAAAATTTGCTAGGTCGATATATGTACTGGTCTCGTGCATTAGAAAATTGACATTTTTGGTAGTGCGCAATGCAAATGACGTGATATTCAATACTGGTACGTACGGGTGAGATGCTTGTTTTTTTATCTTCTTGTTTATTACATATTACTATGTTAGTCTCTCCTTATGTAATTCCAAACCACGTACGATAATTTAAGAATTTCATGCTATCTAATCTTCTTTGACTCCGCACTGCTTGAAGCAAAATATATATTGTGCCAAAAGCACATCGTGTAGAAATATATAAATAAAATCCATAATGTATAATTAACGAGAGTATCTATATAATGTTTGTGCATATTGGCGTACTTGTTACATATGTTGAAACACCAGAAGTTTACAATCACATAGCAGAAGAGGTTTATCTATTACAAACCACGATTATATTCATGAAGCTTTTAATTTGTCCTCCATGACCTTATTTCATATAGAAACACACGTACGAAGGTCAATATATATATAAGCAGCACACAAACACCACACGTTGTACTAGCTAGAGTAGTCTTATTTACACGGCATTAATATGTAGCTCAAACCACTTGTATCGATCTGTCCAATTGATACGATACGATCATAATCATTATTGAGATAATTTTATCTATAAGATATAATATATCTTGATTAAATGCGTGCAGGGCATCGATCATGCATGGATCGATCACTTCCATGGATCAATTTGGCTGCTTGACGTTGATGTGGACGCATAATCGGCGGCTGCCACCTCTTGCTGCTTGTCACTGACCTGAAGAATGTCTCCTTCATCAGTATAATGATCCGCAGGCTTGTTTGTAGCATCATTGCTAAGCTGAGAGGCAACAAACTTGTCAAGAACTCTCCAGTCAGTGGTAGTGGCTTGATCGACTGCATGCATGTCGTCAAAGAAGGGATCAGCCTGAGCATGGTGCATGTTGATTTGGTGGTGATCAGGTGAGACCAAAAGAGAATGGAAGGAGGAAGTAGAACTCTCCAGGTCATGGGGCATGGTGTTGAGGAGATGATGGCCTGCCGCAGGGACTTGGAGCTGCTGAATCTTAGTAGTGAGGTCTCTGTGCTTGTAAGTGGTGTGGAGGTGTTGCTCTTGCAGCGTGATGCCGGCGTGGTGTTGGTGTGGGCGCAATATTGATGATCTGGTGATCATCATCGGAGACATGAAGGCGCCCGGTGCATCTTCATCAACGTACCAGCTGCCGCAAGGTGCGTCATGGTCTGAATCTCTTCTTGTTGTGGGTAATCTCTTCTTGAACACCCGGCATACCACCCACCCTTCTTCCTGCATGCATCATATCCATTCTTTAATTTATAACCTTGAATGAATTAATTGCATTAATTGGAGTATGTGACGTTTCTCTGAAGCTAGCATATATATGCAAGCAGATGGATGAACTGGAAATTAAGAAGAAGATAGATAGATATATACTCCTACCTGCGGCGGGGCCGTCTCGGTGGTCTCGAGGCGGTACTCGTGCATGATCCAGTCGGACTTGTGGCCGTTGGGGGCGCGGCCGCGGTAGTAGACGAGCGTCTTCCTCATGCCCACGAGGAGGCTGTGCTGCTTGGTGGCGTAGATGGGCTTGTCTCGCCCCGTCGCCTTCCAGAACCCGGCCGCCGTCGCACGGTTGGTCCTCGTCCCCGTCGGGTACTTCTTGTCCTTGTGGCTGAAGAAGTACCATTCGTTCTGCTCCTCCGCCGCCGACCCGCCATTGATCCGGCAACGCTCTGCATGCATGGTTATACTCCCAGTTAATTATTGCTGGCTTAATTAGCACACGAATATTGTACACATCTATCATATGCATGCATGTACGTACTGTACTGAGTACTGACCTTGCAGATCCCATGGCTCAATCTTGTAGAGATCGACGTCCTTGATGACATTGAGATCAATCCTTCTTGCGGCCACCTTCTTCCGAAGGTAGTAATCCACCAGCTCTTCGTCCGTCGGGTGGAAACGAAATCCAGGAGGAACCTGCGCCTGCTGCTGCGTGCTGCTGCTGCTCATACTAGATCCATCCATTTCGATCGATCGATCGCTATCTATCTATATATTTGAGAGCCTGCCTCTGCTTGCCTGAAATCACAGTCATGCATGCATGTCAATATTGTTATAAACTACGAATACTTACAGTGATGTACGTACGTACGTAGTCGATCGATCGAGAGCAGTTAATTAATTACTGTATACATGATTTTTTTTTTAATCCAGCTGAACACCTGGCTGGGGCTGGCTGGCCGGCTGGAGACGCATGAATGCATGTGATAATGGATTAGATAGATCGAATGAAAAGTGCAGTAGTGGTATATATATAGGAATGCATGCAGTCGAAGGGAAGCAACAGCTAGCAAGCAGGAGAGGGAGAGTGAGCACGATCGATGATGATTTGGAGTGACGCACGCATAATGCATTACTAGCTAACAAAATGAATGAATGAATATATATATATGCTGCCTGCAGCCTGCATGTGGTGCATGCTCACTCATTGCTCTTTGTGGAATGTTCCCCGGCCGGCCTCTCTCCTCTCACTAGCTCATACCATAGTGAGTGAAAAAGTCCTCATCATGCATGCAGCATGCTGTATGTCCCTAGCTACCAATGCAACCTTAATTTGTCACACTATCTAGCTACTACTACTGCATGTATAGCTAGATAGATCAAACTGTACTGTATGTGTGTACATCTCGATCTGTGTATAGTATGTCTTGCCTGCGTGTACATATTTTTAAGCTCGATTAATTGTACTCTTATTGATTACATACAGAGATGATATCATGTTGCAGCTATAGCCAGCCATCTCGATCTTTTGTGCTTAATTTAATTTGAATGGGTGAGATCTAGCTATCTGCTGATTAATTGATCGATGAGTGTATATATAAACACCTTATTTGTTAATTTCTCTCTTCGATCCTATGTACACATGTACATGTACATTTTGCGCGTGCTTGGGAACTTATGATTGTGCTACCACGTCCATGTTTATCACAGTAATTAGTATCCTAGCTAATTCAGAGATGTGCAGTCAATTGCTATATTTTTGTGTTATATGCATACTGATCAGCCTTTTGCATAATAATATGTAGAAATATGCAAACGTTTTCCTATATATAGAAAGACAAACCAGCGGATCGGTTTTGAAAAATAATTGACATATAAAACGTACACTATGTATAATTTACTGGAGTTAATTAGCTTATGCTATTATACTGCATGTAAGTAGTTACTAGTAGTTAATTAACAATGCATACCGGCCATATATGCATCCCTGAAGTTATCTGAATTAAAAATGCAATACACAGCGGTTAATTACTTTATTTGCTAAAAAGTTAAATATATAATAGATCGTTATTTTTCATACAGATTTTCGTAAGAAATTTTATGTAGAAAACTACAAATTAAATTTCTAGTTAAGAGACAATCAAAGCTGGAAAATGATGACTATAATAATAATGACAAATCTGAGTGGAATATATATTTATTTAAATGATATGAACATATGCGACTATCTTAGTTTTCATATTTCGTACATATAATTTGTGCATATATATAGTTTGTCTAGCTACTCTTTCTTTTCTGATAAAAAAACACAAGGTCGGATGGGCAAAAAATAACAATCTACTTCCTCCGTTTCATAATGTAAGTCATTCTAGCATTACCCATATGCATATAGACGTCTAGATTCATTAACATCTATATGCATGTGGGCAATGCTAGAATGATTTACATTATGAAACAGAGGGAGTATTATAGTTGTGTATTTTTGTCAAATGTGTATCACACATAGAATTCTACTGAAAATCTGGAATTAAACACGACGATAACTACATATATATCTAGGTTTATACATGCTTGAATGCAAGGAGGATTAGATCGAATAAGATACACACAATAACACAAGGTCAAGAAATCAATCAAGGGAAGATAAGATGTATATATACCTTGGTTTGATCAGTCGTGGTTGGTTGGGTTAAAATCAGTGTATGATGTGATCAAAATCCTTGTAGAAATCCAAAGATGAATCTCGATAGGTAGCAGATAAGAGTAGCTAGCTAGGAGACATGAATGAACTTTTGTTCTCTTGTCGATCCCTGTCTGGATTAGTTGCTCGATCAATGTGCATATATATATGCAGTATGTATATATTCTCTCTCCTTCTCGATCCCTAGCTAGCTATCTAGCTCGTTATCTGCAGGTTCAGATCCCAAGAAGAATGTTACAGAAGCATGTACAACAACATGAGACATCATCAGCAAAAGTGTGAGGGATCTTAAAAAACAACAAATATAATTAATTAAAGAAGTATGAATAAATCAAAGTATGTCGTCGATCTACAATTCTACACATATGATCTGCAAAAAAGTAGCACGTAAAATATATATATATATATATATATATATATATATATATATATATATATATATATATAAGCTCATGAACTCAAGAGTAGCATCAGAAACCTAGCTACACAATACCTAGATGTGTGGATGCATCAGCTGCATGATATATAAAGTTGTTGATTGACTAGTAAATCCTGGATGGCTCGATCGATCGTTGGTCTCCCTCCTCCCTCCTCGATCCGATCCTGATGAGAGATCGGAAGAGAGGAGGAGAGGTAGCTAGCTGCAGCTGAGAGAGAACGGAGAACAGGGAACGGGGTTGATGTGTGAAGATAGAACGGGATATGATTGATTGATTGTTTGATGAAAAGAAGAAGAGAAAACTAGTAGCTAGAGAAAACAAGTGGAGTAGTAAAGAAACGGATCTCCATGCGATCCATGGCGACCATGAATTAACGCATGTATGCAGTAGCACAGGCAGAAAAATGAGGAGAAATTAAGAAGCTAAATATTAGAGGTAAAACTATATATATATATTGCACACTGATGGATCGAAATTAACAAGAATAATATATATATCTAGATATATGTAATTAAGCAGCCTGGGACGACTGGGAGGATGAAAGAGATGGCTGAGGAAGATGCAGCAGGAAGCTAGAGAGAGAGAGAGAGAGAGAGAGAGAGAGAGGAGCAAGAAGCAAGAAGAATGTGGATGGCGAAGCTAGGGCGGCCGAAGGGAGGGAGGAAGGAGGAGACGTAAGAGAACAGCGACTGACCTAGCTAGCTTTGCTTTCTTTGTCTACTCGATCGATCCCTCCTCCCTCAGGCCTGAGAGCTAAACACTGTGGGGCCCACGTTACAGAGGGCACGCAAAAAATGGGACCCACCCGACCACTACTCACCAAACAAATGAATCCCCATCCATCCATCAATCCACTGCAGCCTCGCGCCATCATCATTTCTTCCTTTTCCTTTAGCTAATTAATCTAAAAAGATATTGTGTGTGTATACATATCTCTGCTCCACTATTTAGTTTACCTATTTAATTAGCCATACTATTGCTACGAACATACTACACATTAATTGAATTTAGACGTACCAATCCTATACGAAACTAGTTTTCACATCCGGCAAAATTTCGTTCGTAAGTATATAAATGAAATCAGGTTTCGGAGAAATTGCATATATATGTTGGATGATCGATCGATCGCTACCAATTAATATATCAAAAGGCCAATTTCCATGAAAAAGGCAAGGCTTATATATGTTTGTACGCGCTTGCTATAGCTATTCGGCCGGCCAGCGTATTAACATATGAAAAGGTAGCAAAAGTTAATTATATAATTAATGGCGGTGAAGGCAGGTGCAGAAAGGATGGCATCATGCTATGCATACATGTCCAAGTGAGGTTGAGGTGTGTTGGAGAATACAGGCAGTATTAATCCGTGGATGATTGTATTAATTCCCCACAACCACAAAAAGAAAAGTGAAAAAAAAGGCGAAAGAATTTAAAGGCAGGCAGGCAGGCAGCTAGCTGCAGGCGTGAGCTTGAGCCGATCATTAGCCTCACACACAAACACGAGAGATGTGCACTGCATATACTTCATCCGTTTCAAAATGTTTGAAACCGTTGACTTTTTAACACATGTTTAACCGTTCGTCTTATTAAAAAAAATTATAAAATATGTAAAATTATATGTGTACATGAAATTATATTTAACAATGAATTAAATGATATGAAAAGAATAAATAACTACTTAATTTTTTTAATAAGATGAGTGATCAAACACGTACTAAAAAGTTAACGGTGTCAAATATTTTGAAACGGAGGGAGTATATATTTACATCCACCCGGTCTCTAGATCTACGCTTGCGTGTATCCCTTCCCTTCGCCTGGCTTGCTCCTCCTATTTAATTTCCCATGCGCACATTAACCATCTTCCTTTTCTTAATTCATTTCATTTCATATCATTTCTCTTTTTTAAATCAAAATTATTACTGCTACTATCACTACTCATATAACAGCACATTAATTAGTACCAGTTTGACAAAACCTAACAGTGATGATAGTTTCCTGGTTATCCCACAAAACACTCTTGCGCTATGCAATGACAAGACCCGGCCAGTACTAATGTTATATCTACTGATGATGGTTTCCCGTCCCACAAAATTAAACACTCTCGCGTTGTGCGGTGGTAAGAGTAAGACCCAGCACTGGTGTCTACTGATTATGGTTTCCCTTCCCACAAAACACTCTCGCATTATGTGTTGGCAAGACCCGACATCAGTGCCGGTTCATATTAACAACCTGCATACATTATTCAGCATACAATCGGCGTTGGTTTATAAGAATATAATGACCCCACACTAATGAACCTCATAATATTAGTGTTCGTTTTAGATATGAACATAATTTTTATCATATGAACTCGAATCGTACGATAAAATTTATATAAAAATTGTACGTCTTGACAAAATCTTTGTAGTTGACAACCTTTTCATTTGAATTCTTTTAATTAGATAATTAAATCCATTATTCAAATCTTTACCACGCATGTGAGGGAGAGGTCTCGGCTTCAAATCCTATTTTTTAAAGTTCTTCCGTAGCCTACATTGTAAATTTTGATCCATATTATTAGTGTTGTTTGTAGCCCCAACAGGCAATTATATATTATCCCCCCCCTCCCCCGGGGCGGATCTATAGTGTTAGCATCGGTGTCAGGTGACACCGACGACTTTCAGCAAAATCTATGTTAAACTGCTTATCCATATATTATAACACACTAATCTAAGTATACTTAGCATGCTATGACACCAGTGAATCAATTTTCTAGATCTGCCACTGCCCCCCCCCCCCCCCCCTCTATGTACCCCACACACATGCACCCCATCGCCAAGCGTCCAAAGTTTATTGTCAGTTTGATTTCCAACACTAACAAGGAGATATAACCCGGTACTAAAGCCATTTTATATATTAGTGTATATATGGCTCCAATTAGTGACAGAGTTACAAAAATTTTTGAACTCGAGTAAAGTTTATTATAACTATCATTTGATATAGAATTTTTATCATCAGTTTATTTACAAAAATATTAAAATTTAATGTAGTTTTCAGCAGCGATCTTGGGCGGCTGTCCGGGCTAGTCGGACAGTGGCTCCGCCCCTATCTCCAATACCTCAAACACTGCCATAAGTTCAAATCCTCTCGGAAACAGGTTATTTCAACATTTTATTCTGTACTTAATAATGGATGCACGTTTCTCCTTAGTACTCTAAACAATAAAACAAATATATCTCAAAATATCAGGTTGATTACGGTACAATGTATAGTATATAACAACTCGCCTGTTGCATATACTACTAACTACTCCTTCCATCCCAAGGATCTAGAATCGTATATGATATTTTCTAGCACTCTGTCCCGATTCATTGTATTAGTAAATGTCACATCTTACTCTAGGTCTTATATTTTAGGACGGAGAGAGTAGTAGTAATATATATTGCGTCAAATTAAAAGCAGTCCGTCCCAAAAAAAGGCAAACCGTGGGTTCCCGTGCCAACGTTTGGCTATCCGTCTTATATGAAATTTTTTTATAATTAGTATTTTCATTGTTGTTAGATGATAAAACATGATAAATACTTTATGTGTGACTTATCTTTTTAATTTTTTCATAATTTTTTTAAATAAGACAAACGGTCAAACGTTGGATACGGAAACTAGGGTTTGTCTTTTTTTTTTTGGGACGGAGGGAGTACTTGTCAGTTGTCAAGCAGTCCCGGTAAAACCGCAAGAAAGCTATAGCCAGTCCCAATCAACAAACCGCGTTGCACCACCTGACATTCAAATCAGTCGGTCTGAGCCTCACAAATTTCATGCACCATCCATCTGGGCATATATCTTGCTGTATCATCTACTGTCTACTCCTACATGCAAGCCTGCCAGTAAAGTTGTTGTACAGTACAGTAGTTGCAAGCCCCAAAATATTATAGTATCTGCAACTTCATACAGAGAGACAGGAACAGGAGAGACAAACTTCTCTAGCTAGTAGTACTAAATTGAGATGGAATGACAATCATCAATATCCAGATCTCTACTAATAAGTCGATCGATGCGAGAAAACACACTCTCAGGCACCACTCCTTGCAGGTGCCGACACACAGACTCAATGCAATGGTTTACACAATCTCTGTTAAATTCCGACAAACTTTGCCGATGCACAATGACAGTATTCCACACGAATCATGGAACCTACAAATTTTTCGACCTACCCGAATTCTGTCAGTTTCCTAATTTGCAAACAACAGCCAACAGGGCACTAACAGGAAAAATATTTTCATTGGACGAACACCGCCGCTACCAGAGACACCACAACTGCAAGCCAATAGCGGTTTGGTGATGCAGCAGAGGATGATGAACTTGATGAACCATGAGGCTTCTGAGCCCTAGAGGACCAAAAAAAAAAACAGTTGAAGCATTAGTCATTACTCCTGTAAGGTCAAATGCAAAGTAGCTGGAGTACTCTCTAAAGCACATAAGCAAAATACTAGCAACATACTTCTGTTTATCCTTGAGGAGGCCACAGTAGAGCATGTTATCTGGAGCCACCATCTCAGTGACATTATAGCCTCCATCTGGATCCACCACCCTGATGTATGTCTCCTGACCAAGATACCATGTGTCCAGATTTTCGGTGCGTACGTTCCAAAAACCCGGGCTGTCAAGTGACAGCATCACAGCAGTCCATGCTCCAGGGAATACCTACAACATGAGTGTGTGATAGTATCTATCGTTGTTAACTGCAGGACGCAATAAGCTCATCTCAGCAATCGATGACTAGATAAATAAATATCTCTTCAATCTTGACTAAGAAGAAATATTAACATCTTGCATCCACCAGCTCATAAATAAACATTATAGTGGGTGTGAACATTAGCATAGTTAAAAAGCATCCTGAAACACAAGGACTTCATCAAGAGAAATGGCCAGCCTACGATAGTTACCTGTGTGGTGCAACGAGAAACACCATCCCACTTGTTGTAAGTCCCACGGCTATTCTCAGTCCACTCACCATAGTCCATCCTGGTTGGCAAAATGCAAATGATCCATTATACAGGTTGTTTGCTGATTGACAGCCAAGGAAATGCAAATTTGAAGCATTGCTCACCCTACAACCCAAAATGCATATCCATCGATATGGTAGGTCTGGACTTTCGTGTCATTGTTCTGAAATACAATTTCCAAGAAATTCTTGTATGTGGAGTTAATGACAGAAGTTTTCATCACTGGCGGTCCATCAATTGGCATAGTAGGGAAGTCAAGCGTGTACACTCCTTTCTTGTCATAGAGATCCGCCAACCTCATAGGGGTATCAGGTGGGGAAAAAGAGATACCACTCAGTGTAGTCCGTTTTTTCCCGTTGATAGTAACAGGTGGTTCATTCCTGAGCTTGTAAACCTGGCTGACGTTGATAGAGCCATAGTGAAATGAACCTTGAGGATTTGGACGAGCAGCACCAGTACTCACATTCATCCTGGGAAAAGAGAAAGAAAGTGTTTTGTTGAGGACAACATATTGCAAACTCTTGGGGACAGTGATATATGTCTAGACTCTATGTTGCTCACGAGTTGTAGCAGACAACCTTACACTTTATAAATAGATGATGCTAGCAGAGACACAGAACCACTGGGAATGACTACTAAACATTTAGAGGTCACTATATGTATTGGAAGCAAATTGAAGTTTCTAAAGGAATACAAAAGGTAGAGGTATGCATAAGAACAGATTGTCTGGGCAGAAAACTCCCAAGTACACTGACAGAAGTGTTGATTTGCAAAGAAAAGGATGTATGTATTTTGTTTGAAGTGTGTTTCCCATGCAGAATCTGAAAACAAGTCATATTTGAATGAAATATCTTTGTGAATTCAATGCGACTAAATGTACATAATTTACATTATGGGAAGTAGCATAAGGTCCATGATAAGGAAAAGGTGAAAACAAATTAGGAGATGTAGGTATAGCAAAAGAAAAGTTACAAACAAATTATTATATCACATTAGCAAAAAAAAAAATTTGCAGCGTATGCTGGGTATAAAGAAGACTATTAGAAAGTATCAGCACATGATGGGTCAACCATTTCTAAGGTACATGCTTTTAAAGAGGCTAGGATTGCATGAGAGGAAAATAAGACATTGGTCATTTGTGCGGGGTCTGCAACTAAGAAGAAAGAGTTATTTTGTACAAACCTGATGGAGCGTGCCTGGTTCATTGAGAAAGTTTTGTCGTACTCATCATTTGGTGGATCAGGAAGAGGGCCAGAAGCTTTTCCCTTTGAATTTGAATACTGCAAGATTGCAACACCGGTAACTTTGGTCCACAGTGATTCATTAACAAACCTAGCACTGGCCACAATGTAGTAGTCACTGCTTGCATTCTGATCCATGGTGATCAAAAATGAGTAGGACTGTCCCACATGGATGTCAAGATTTGTGAAATTCTGCTTCATTGTGTATGATCCCTCAGTTTCAACAAGGGCCAAATTGTGGTTCTGAATCCTGAAGTTCAAGCTCGTCGATATACCCACATTGTGGACACGGAAACGGTATGTTTTTCCTGTTGCGGAGTTTGAGCAGTCAGTTACCAAATCATGAGAATAAACAAAGGCAATCATTGTTCAAAGAAATTTTAGTTGGCCCTGTCATGGAAGTGATGATGAACTATCACTTTCATTCATCCAACATAGCAGTGAGAACACATTGTACAATTCAATGTTACATTCAAAAATACTGGTAGCAGCAGCAGAGAGATAGACTTATAGGAGCAGTTTTTTTGGCAACATGTACAAGGACTAGTTTAGCTTATCATGCTGAAAGTGTGGGAGGACTAATCACCTGGTTCAACTTTGATAGTCTCATGTTCAATGCCAGCAGGGACGAGGGAATCATTGTACCTATACGGCCCCTTGCCATTCATCAGAACTCCATCAGGCATCCCGAGCTCTTTTCCATCATCGAGCATCTTCCTCAGGTCCTATACAAGACAAACACAATCAGCACCATGACCATTGATGTGATGAGTCCTGGAAAATAGGCTTAGGTTTTTTTTTTCTCTCTCTACCGTGTGGCTCTTCTTGTACCAGTCCCCAATGAACAAGGTGATATCTCCATCTGGTGTGTCGAATGGGACAGAAATGACGGCGCGGTTGTTGACAGTAATACCTCCGAAACCACCAGCAGCACGCTGCAGGCTAAGGGGTGGGAAGTAAAAGAAGCTCCCAATCTGGTCCTTGACTTGGAAATTGTAGGTCCAGTTCCAACCTGGAGGTATGGGGCAGGTTGTGCCAAGAACACCATCCTGCCAGCAATTCTTTCTTTGCTGGATCCCATCCCTGATTGAAATAAGACATGGGTCAGTCAACACATTGACAGCACATTATATTGCGAGTGAATGTCAGCATGGGAGCGTTGAACAATATAATGGAATGGGGGAGGAAATTGAGTCTGACCAAGTGATGAGTAATGGCTCATCCAAGCTGTTGAGCACATTGACGACCACATTGTAGTTGGTGGTGAGGTTCATGACGGGGCCAGGGAACTGCTTGTTGATTGCGATAACCTGAAACAAGTAAAAGGAGGCATAATGTTAGTAAAGAGACAGGCATGAAGATGGAGGCTAGCATTCGCGAGTTGGAAAGAGAAGCAGAGGTGAGCAGAGCTAGGCAGGCAGTAATACTAGTACTAGGGCGTGTGCAAGAGGGATTAGTGCTTCAATTCGAGGGGAAGGACGGATCGGAGTAGCGGAGATCTGCTACTGCTAGAGCGATAGGAGAAGTTTGGCAAAGGGTTGGAGCAGTTGTAGTCTGAAAAATGTAAAATATATCTTTTGAAGTAACAGGAACACATCCAGTCCGTCTAGAATCCAGATGCGAATGCGAATGAAAGAATGAATCTTGAAATAAACTAGCTAGTGTTCCGGCGCACGCAAATGTTTCCCCTAATATATTAGTGCAGAGTGTAAGCAATGAGCAAATCTGATTCGTCCCAGGAATGAGGGGCACGAATCGGGGGGAGAAAAAAAGAAGAAGAAATCTTAGAGGGAGGGATTCCATGGAGGAAGCAAGATGGAAGCTTTGGAGGCATTCCATGGATTGATTTGATTTGTAACACAACACTATTACTAGTAGTGCTCAGAAGTAGTATAGCAAGAAGAAGAAGAAGAAGAACCTTCTGGGGAAGGCCTAGCGGGGAAGCGGTGATGAAGGAGACGTCCCAGTCGAAGAAGACGTAGGGGTCGGTGGCCTGCGCAACCAAGGCGCCGGCGACGGCGACGAAGGCCAAGAGCGCCGCCGCAGCAGCCGCCATTGGTGGTGAAGTCAAGCACTTCTTCCCCCTCACTCCTCTTGTCTGTCTGTGTGTGTGCGCGTGTGGGAAGGAAACAAACCAAGGTCCAAGGGGGGGGGGGGGTTTTGTGAGTGAAGGCAAGCCCCACGACTCTGGTATATAGGTGTCCAAACAGGCGGCACGGCCCGGCCCGGCACGGGCACGGGTCCGGCACGGCCCGTTTCGGCACGGCCCGTTAGGCACGGCTGATGAAACGGGCCGTGCCGTGCCGGCCCACGTGCCGAGCCGCCGGCCCAAGCACGGCCCGTGGATGGCCGGGCCGTGCCGTGCCGGCACGGCACGCCTGCGGCCCACGGGCCGTTCGGGGCGAAATTTGAGATTTTTTGGAATTTTTTCGAAATTTTTATGAATTTTTTAGCCTCCCAACGGTTATTTTCAAATTTGAACGGTCAAATAGCCGTTAGTGTGCCACGTGGCGCCTTCCCATTCGACCGCCGCCCGCCCACGTGGCGCTTTCGGCCTGACGGGCCGCCGGCGAAACGGGCCGTGCCGTGCCGCGGGCCGTGCCGGGCCGTGCCGCTACAGTAGCCGTGCCGTGCCGGGCCGTGCCGCTACACCATTAGAGAAGAGATAAGTGATGGTCGCACTCACACACACTGCTCCTGCCCGCCTCTGCTTATGAGACGCCGACTACTGTACACCTCACCTGACATGAGGGGAAAAAGAAGAGCAAAAATCTTTACTTTATTTTTTTTCTAACTACTCCATCCGTTCAAAAAATACCGTCCAAATTTGTTGGTTGGTTGTATTAGGATGAGTCACATTCTCATTAAGAGGTACTCCCTCCATTCCAAATTGATCTACATATTTTATAGGTACACCAAAACCAAAAAAGCTAATAACTCTTTCATACTATATTTATTCTAGCAACAAACTCAATGCATGCACCATTCCCAATATTTTCTAGCCAATAACAAATCAAGATATTACATGTGGGTTATAAATGCTTGTGTGCATGGATGCATGCATCAATGTCCATTTACTCCAATACACAAATAACGAATAGACTCAATAAATGAACACAAATATGTAGATCATTTAGGAATAACCTAAAAAAACTATATGTATATCAATTTGGAATGGATGGAGTATCATATCTCCTCCTAATTTATCTTTTTTTTTTGGTTTAGTGGGGGGTGGAAGTAGTAATCCCTCCGTCCCAAAAAAGAATATGTCCACGTAGGTTGATTTTTTTTTGGGACAGATGGAGTAGACATTAGTTTATTTTCTTTTAGAGCAAAGATAGTGAAGTGGTAGGCTATAAGTCAAATATAAACTTATATAGAAAAAAGAGAAAAAGTGTTAGCTCTAATACAAGAGCTTGCTTTACACGTGCTCAAGATATTTACATTAAATTTACAGAGATAGAAAGCAAGAGCAAAGGAAAAATAGAGTCAACCTTTAACTATAACATAAGGTAATGCCCTTACAGAGAAGAGTGTAACATACCTGTTCACATGGGACATGTTCTCTACATATGCTTCAAGGTATATATTGCTGGAAGGAAGGAAAATAGCCAAAAGCAAGATAGTGCTTTTATTTTTCTCCTTGATGGACTGCGTGAAACGAGGATCGAGTCGCATTCCCAGCTAATTGTGCCTGCCTGTCTAGCTCGTGCTGATCATGTGGTGGAGTAGACAAATCGGTATCAATCAACAACTACTCCTTCAGTCCAGTCCAGTCCAGTGTACTCCACTACTCATCAATCAAAGCTGGCATGGGCATGGCCACGTTCTTCGTGAGTTGTTTTCTAGGGATGGCGGATGCCGGCCAAGAAGAAGATTTAAGGAGATGCATGCGGCTTCCGAGGCATAAACAACGGAAACGAAACCAACGGATTTAAGGAAGGAGTAAAGAATTGTATGATTCCGCATTTGGCCGCGCGCCGCGTTCAAACCGGAGATACCCTACTTAACTATTTTCTCTTCTTTTCTTTTCTTTTCTTTATTATTACCAATGGAGCTACTCCAGTGAAGTACACTCTCACTTCCATAAAAAAACCAATTTAGTACTGGTTATGACATAACGAATCTGGATATACATTTGTCTAAATTTATTGTACTATAATATGTCACATCCAGTTCTAGATTTACCATTTTTTTTATGGAGAGAGTACTGTGTAATTGTAATTTTGGTTTTCCTTTTCTTTTTCAAGGTCGGTGATTTTGTCTCGCTTTTTTTGAACCGAAGCCGTAGATTACACCTGCTTTGGACGGTCGTTAATAGACATTGACATTGAACTTCGGCACAAAAGCCCCTAATACCGACAAAAATGTTTCATTTCCTTAGAATAAGTTTTTTAAAAGATTTATTTATAAAATAAAACTTTTAAAAAGCTAAAATATAAATATTTCATATGTATACCACCTTCATTCTAAAATATACTTCATTCGTCCTACAAATTCAACTTCTACGTATAAATCTATACATAGCTTTCATCCAAATTCATGTATAAAAACTATTTTTACAGGACAAAAGGAGTAGCTACCTAGCTACATGTCCACTCTAAAAATTATATTTTTATTGTAAATTTCACTTTTTGCCACTTTTTATTATCGATGTTCTGTTTTGGATCATTTTCTAAATAATGCTTTCACTTTAGACCGGGTAATTTTATATTTGTGGTACTTTTGAGTCATCCTTAACTTTTTTATCCATCTACGTACAATTTGTCATATGTTAAAGAAACAGAGAGCTTGTTGACGAATAGGAGCCGGCCTACTCGAGGTCATTCATATGCGTAAGAAGAGAGTCTAGATGATCTAAATTGAAATAAAAGAGTCTAGATGATCTAAATTGAAATAAAGGCAAGATTACTCACTTCCAAGTAAAAATATTGATTAGAGGATGGTTCAAAGCGAAATATCAGTAATAGAAAATGACTTACGATGAAATATACTCAATATTTTGGGAGAAATGGAGTACTACAATACCTACCTAGTACTACTTCCATTCCAAGTGTATAAATATTGTCTGATTCAATCTGAACATGGGGATGTCGAGAGAGTATTTTGTTTAGAAGATAAGAGCAAATACAATAGCATATTATTAGCCAGCTATAAATATATTTTAATAAGATAAAAGATGAGAGAGAAGAGCAGCGGGCTACAGATCTGTAGCCAGCTACAACACGAACTCCAAGACACAATATGTGTATGACATGTGGGACCATATATTAATAGTATAGTAAACAACTATTGTACGAATTGGCTATTAGATTGGCTATAGATGAATTGGAACTAGTAGTGAGCTATACTATTAAACTTGCTCTAAGGTACATATACTAGTATACTCCCTCCATCTAGTCATATTTCCAAAATCTAGTCATATTTCCAAATCTGAAAAATTTACTCAGTATACCTACCTAATACTACTAGTCCTCAGTACTGGTTCTATTTTCCATCAATTAATTTATTTTACTACTATGAGTGGTAAGTACATACTACTGTAGTAATTTGTTCGCAAGTACGATCTGAAATACTAGTAGTACTGCTAGATTTAAGAAACAGCATCAAACCATCAAATTTGACCTACTTGGTTGGGCTTCATAGCCCAAGCCCAACAACAAGAATGTTCGTACGGGCTTGTTTAGTTGGCAAAATATTTTACCCATACATATCACATCGGATGTACGGACACACATTTGAAGTATTAAGTATAGTCTAATAACAAAACAAATTACAGATTTCGCTAGGAAACTGCGAGACAAATTTATTAAGCATAATTAATCCATTATTACCAAATGTTCATTATAGCACCATATTGTTAAATTATGGCACAATTAGGCTTAAAAGATTCATCTCGCGATTTCCTGGCGAACTGTATAATTGGTTTTCTTTTTTTATCTACTTTTAATACTCCATGCATGTGTCCAAACATTCGATGTGACAGTGAAAAAATTTTGTTTGGGAACTAAACTGGACCTAATTTCCTTTCCCTTCTCCCTACTTTGCCTATCCATGTTAAGATGTTCTATTTACATGTAGTTACTACAGTAGCATCTTGATCAAACATGTATATGTAGAATGTGATGGGCGCAGTAGGCCGGAAGAAACAAAAGCCAATATGCATACTACTCCGTCTTATTTGAAAAAATTATTAAAAAAAATTAAAAAGACAAGTGACGCATAAAATATTAATCATCAAACAACGATAAAAATACGAATTATAAACAAAATTTCATATAAAACAAACAGTCAAAATTGGACACGGAAACCTATAGTTTGCCTTTTTTTTTTGGACGGATGGAGTAGGTAAGATATGATGAATTGATGATTTATTCAGTTGACTGGAGAATCAGGGAAGCAATTAATTAACTAAGCAGGCCCGATGAAGGCCACAACGACACCATAGCCCATAGGCACGCACAGGCGCACACACATCCAGTGCGGCAGTGCTCAGCTTAAATGGAACTAGGGCATCTTGGCAGTTTAACAGCCGACAGAGATCCTAACAAGAGCAACAACAACATCTGGATAACAACAGCATACGAGTACAAAGCAAATAAAATGGCTGGACGTCCGGACCAAACAGCTGCTTAGTGCTTGCTAGCTAGCACAATCAGACTACCATGCATAGTGCACAATGTGTTCCTCAACAAACTGAAAACAACAACGGTGGTTATCACAGTGCTACAATGATGATGATGATGATACAGTGCTACAAGCTCCATCATATGCGTGATAACCACTAGACGAGATGAGATATGGCCTCTTACTTCTTTCCCTTTTGGATGACTTTGACTGCATTGTTCACACCGGCCATCTTCTCATCTGTGATCGGCCCTCCTTCTGGAAGATCGAACTTCCTGCGGGTCAACGACCTCTGCTTCCCTGGTGGCTGAGGGTCCACAATCTCCAGCATACCTTCAAGTTCATCAAGCATAGACTTCTTTGCTGTCCTCACCATGTAGTCAGGACCCTGTTAAGATCCAACCACAAAATATAATTTTAGAACCACAGGGACAAGAAGCACCAAACATATAGCGAGATCAAAGGCCAACTATTATAAGGTGATATGATATAGCACCCCTGTGCGGTGATATCATATAACATCCTTGTGCTTCAGGAAATGTGAGACTAAATAAGGTATGCTATGTGCAAGAACTGAAAATGAGCAACATATAAAGAAGAAACAAGTAGATTTAATTAGCTATACATCTGAATCTGATGAGATGTGCAGACATTTTATTACCTACTAGGTATAAATGCTCACCCTTCATCTCCTTGTGCGTTAAAGGGAAATGCATATTAATTTGGTTAATATTCAACTAGTGTTTCACAACCATATGTATAAGAAAGAGATGCACAGCAGCTGCAATATTTAGGTCATGCTTTGATTCCCCTAATATTAGGACTAATCAGTAACTTGAGGTGATAAAGCAGCATTGGAAACCTATGCAGAGATCCCTAAAGGATTAATCGCCCTTGGACCAACCATAGAGGTTGCAGATTGATAATGCAACAGAAACAGTGACGGCAAACAAATAGAAGGCCGACGCTCACCTCAAGCGCATCTACAGTGAGCAGCAGCACGATGATTTTCTCAGTGAACCTTTGGCGCTCTTCATGGTCATGTGCCATGCGATGCCTGTAAGAGATGTTATAGAAGAGGGACCTGATCTCCTTGAGCTTGGCCTTAGCCACAGCCAGATCACGCAGGCAGCGAAGCACCTGTGAACGGTGTGCCAGGTGAGCCCTGTAGTTCAACTGGATCAGCAATGCCGCATCCTGTGGGGACAGTTCCTTCTTCTTTGCCTTGCCATTGCCCAATGCAAAAGCCTTTGATCGAATGAGGGGAGGAAAATGCAGGATTGTCAGCATAAATGTACATTTGAAACAAGAGGAATCAATCGGTTGGTTGTTCTCTAACTAACAAATATTTCCATATTATGCCCACAGCAAGAGCACCGATGCACATCTAATTTGCAGACACTAGTAGTATCTCTGTAAAAACCAAACCCCTCTATTATGACAGATACAATCTTTTTTTCTGGAAATAATCACATAAAAGTGTGATCTTCAGCGAGCGAAATGGTGACTACATGTAATGTAAAAGATGGGGTTTGAGAAAGTGGTCACCTTTCTAATGGCGACGCATCCAGCGGTGTTGTCCTCCTCAGGTGGGATCTCCTCGATCTTGACGGAGAAGGGGCATTTCTTCTGCTCCTTGTTGACCACCACGGTGTTGTTGTCCTTCTTCTTTTTCTTCTTGTCGTCCTTGGCCTTGGTTTTGAGCTTGCTGTGATCCTGCAGGGCCTTGTGATGGAGTTGGTCCTCGATCTCCTCGTCGTCGTCGTCGTCGGTGGCAGAGAAGTCCTCCTCCCAGGTGTAGGAGTGTGACCATGGCTCGAGGCAACCCTTGCCCTTGAGGTGGGTGGCCCACTTGAGCTTGGTGGCAGCAGCGGAGGCGGTCTTGGCCTTGGCCTCCCACTTCCACTTGCGGTCGAATCCATCGTCGTAGGGGGAGTCGAGCTCAGCCTCCCACTTGAGCACCCTCTCGCCGGCGCGAGGCTTGTCCTCGGTGGTCCACTTGACCTTGCGGCCGGTGGACTCGGTGACATAGGTGCACTTCCTGCTGGTGGGCCTGGGGTGTGGGGCGCGGGCGGCGAGGGCGAGCTCGAGTTGGGAGACGCGGTCGGTGAGGGTGTGGAGGAGGAAGGGGTCGAGGAGGGAGCTAGTGGGCGGCGTGGGGAGGAAGGGGTGGAGATGGAAAGGGTCAGCAGCGAAGGGGGAGTCGAGGGCGAAGAATGGGCAGGTGGAGGAAGCGGCGGGTGGGGAGAGGAAGGGGCAGGAGGAGGAGGACGGCGGTGGGAAGGGGAAGAAGGGGTCGTCGAGGAGGTGGGCGTAGCGGTGGTGAGAACTCATGGTGGCCGGCGGCGGTGGAGCTCTCTGCTCAGCTGCCGCTGGAGTGGGAGTGTGAAGGAGACTTGGTGATCTGCTGATCTGATCTGATCGGATCTGGTGTGGTACTCCATCCATGGGGTGGGGAAAGCGATGGAATGTCAAACGTGGTGGGGTTCTCTTCTCTACGGAAGATGAATACGTCTTCGTGATATACGCTTTTCAGCCCGGGAAACGCCTTTTTCTCTATGCAAGACGATGCACAACAACGGTTTGGTTGCCCATATTAATCCAAAACGGTTTATTAGGGAATAAAAATTATTTTACATGCACAACTTTTATATATATGATTTCAATTATTTAAAATCCAATACTGAAAAAACATTACGTTGGAAATATCTTAATATCAACTTATACATGGATATGAATCAAACCATCCAACTTCTTCTCCATTCCCTTCCACTTAGTTTCATACGAGTAGCCGAGACCCAGCACTAAGGCTGTGTTCGACGGTGCAGGATGGGAACCCATCCCTCCTGCACACAAACGGAGTGATCTTTTAACACATGATCAATTAAATATTGGCTTTTTTTTTCTTTTGAAAAATGGATCAATATGATTTTTTTTAAAGCAACTTTCATCTAGAACTTTTTTTTTTTGCAAAAAACGTACCGTTTAGTAGTTTGAAAAGCGTGCACGAGGAAAACTGTCACGCCCCGAACTAGTCCCGACCGGAACTAGCCCGTGACGCTCCAAATTAACCTGTTAATCGATACCAGTCCCAGGAAACAGTGCTGGTATCACAGGAAGACAGATTATCACAGCAACAAAGGTCTCTTTATTATAGAGTAGGAGTACAATCAAGTCGGGCTGCGGACAGATCCCGAGCTCACAACTGCATTACAAAAGGGAAGCGGAAGCCAAGACTTGGACCAAACAATACAGGCGCGACCTGGGAACTAGGCCGAAACCCTAAAACTCATCGTAGCCGGCTTGCTCCTGGAAGAACTCCTCGTCAGCGGGATCCACTTCATCTTCTTCAGCAACTGGGGGAGGGGGGATTATTTATATAGAGCAAGGGTGAGTACGGGAGTACTCAGCAAGCCATGGGAAATAAGTGTTTAATGCAGGCTTCAAAGAAAGGGCTGTTGTTTTTGCAATTGATTTTATTTGAACTCTTTTCTGAAAACAACTAAGTGAGTGCTTCTCAAACGACACGGATGAGACAGTGCGTCTCGTCCGGTCGGAGTATGTGCAATGTATCAGTCTTTAAAATTGATCAAGATTGGCACCCGGCCAACAACTTTCAAACGGCCACCCGGGCCTAGCTGATCCCATCAGCTGCAGATTTTCCAAACAACGATCCCCTTTTCACAACAGCAATTTCACAAGGCAGTAGTCAAACAAAACTACGCTAGGAATCACCTCACATCCGCCCATGACCGTGGGCACGGCTGTTCGAACAGTTTGTTAACCTCTGCAGAGGGGGTACACTTTACCCACACGACATTACTAACCCGGATCACCCAGCCTGTGGGGATCAGCCACGTCGGTAGACCTCCAAGCTTTCATGACAAGGCATTTCTAAAGCCGACACAGGTTTACCATATGCCGACGAGAGGGGTCCCAGACCAACAACAGGTTAGGTCCCAGACCATACTGTGCCAGGATGCCCAGGGGTCCTCCCCGATACCACCCCGGCGAATCCACATGTCTCTCGGCATCAAGGCTCCCCTGATAAGTTAGTTACTTAGCCAGGGGTGTCCCATTCCACCCATGTGGTCATACTTGTCTTATGTTCGGATGAAATTCCAAGGAAACGGTCCTTAAGTGCGAGAGCGGGAAACCGTACACCCGGTATGTTCCCCGGTCCGTGGTTTTGGAAATTCATTTAGTTCGCAAGCACCGACCCAGGTGTCGTGTTTTCCAAGCCTTTTGTAAAACCCAAGTTTTACCCAAGAAGTTTTTCAGATTTTAAGTTTGAAGGCGACCGTCGATACTCGCACAGGGTGCACGAATATCGAGGCGTAACTAGATGGTTACAAGGGGACATGATATAAAAATTAACAAAGGAAGGATCAAATGCAACAAATTAGGTAGGTCCGCCAATCTGCCTTGCAGACGGGACAAACAGATTAAGTGCGATCCTATCAATGCATAATATTTTTCAAGAAACATAATTAAATTCAAATATAGGCTCAAGATGTTCAAAGGTGGCTTGCCTTGCTCGAGATCTAGAGCTTGATCCACGAAATCCTCGCACTGCGGGTCTTCGGGCTCCGAAACTATACGCAAAACGGGACAACTCAACAAATGGCAAAAATAAAGCCCTATTAATGACCTCTAAGCGTGCCATTAGATAGATCTCGAGATTTGAGGAATTTTGGAAGTTGAACGGAGTCAAACGGACTTACGGTTGGGAAGATATTGAATTTCTAAGATTATTGAATTTTTGGTCTAAAGGAAAAGGATTTAATTAAATCCTTTTGGAAAAAGAAAAGAAAAGAAAAGAAAAGAGGGAGGGAAATTAGACTTCCCTCGGGCGGCTAGGGCGCGGCCCGAGAGAAAAGGGGCGGCTCGGCCGAGCTTAATGGGCCGGCCGGCCCAAAAGGCGGCCGAGAGCGCGCGCAGGAAGGGAGGAGAGAGGGAGACGGTGGACCGGGCTCACCTCGCGTGGTCCCGGGTGGGACCCGCTTGTCAGCGGCTCGGCTCACCGTGCGGAGGGAGTATGCGGCGTGCGCTAGGGTTTGGGGAAGGGACGCGGTGCACGCGCGCGGTTCGCGGAGGACGCGGATGCGGCGGGCCCACGCGCAGCCTCACGGCTCGCGGTGGACCGCGCCTGCGAGCGGGGCCGGAGGGAGCGGCTGACCGGGGTCGGCTCGACCCGGTCTTGGCCGAGCTGGCGCCGACGTGGCGCCTACGTGGCTGCCACGCGGGCCGGCGGGAGGTAGACGACGACGCCGGCCGGAACGGACGGCGGACGACAGCGGCGAGCGGCGGAGCGAACCACGGCGATACAGGCGAAAGCGAGCACACCGGGTGGTTGCACGAGACGAGGGGAGAAGAGCCAACGGCTCGGATTCGCCGGAGGGAGCTTGACGGCGGCGAATTGCGGCGGCGGCAACCGGCGGCGGAAGAAGGGGGAAACGGCGACGAGGTCACGAGGGGCCGATTCCCGGCGGCGAGAGCATCTACGCGGCTACGGGAATCCGATGCTAGCGTTGGATTGGGCGGAGCTGTGCCGAGCGAGGCCGGCGACGAGCGGCGCTTCCGAGCTCGGGCGGCGACAGCGGCGAGCACACGACGAGCGATGGCAGCAGTCGGGGCGGCGCCGGCTAGCTACGGGGAGGCTACTCGTGCTACTACCCGAGTCTAAGGGGAGGAGAAGGAGCGAGGAGGAAGAACGGAGGGAGGCACTACCGTGCGGGCGGGCGCAGTGACGAGAGCCGACAGCGCGAAACGTGATCGTTTTGGCCTCGGGCCGAGGAAGAGGAGGAAGAGGGCGCGGCCGAAGTCCCCTTCCGCGTCCTTGCTCGTGCCGGCTCCTCCGACACGCGCAACGACGAACGGCGATGGCGAACAGGGCGACAGTGGCGGCGAGAGACGAAAACGAGGGAGATTTGGAGGAGGAGGAGCTTGGGTTTATAGGGGCGGCAATGTCGGTTTGGGAGAGAGGAACCGACATTGGACGGTCAAGCCAACGAGCTGGCGCTCCGGCTAGCGGCCAAAACGGCGACAGGAGGTGACGCCGGCGAGAGGGAAAAAGGGAGAAAAGGGGGGAGAGAAAGGGGGCTTGTCCCTTGCCTCTTTGGGAAAAGGAGGAGGGGAGCGGGGGCGACGCGGCAGAGGGAGGAGGAGCTCTGCCTCTGTCCCTTGGAGGCTAGCGCGTGGAGTGGCAGGGGCCGGGCGATGACGACGGCGATGACGGCGGGGGCGATTTGAGCGGCGCGGCTCGGGCACGCGTGCTGGCTCGCGGGGCCGAGCGGCTGCGCGGCGGCAGGCGCGGCAGGGCAGCGGGGCCGGGTGACGCAGAGGGCGCAGGCGCGGCACGGGCGGCGACTACGCGGGCGCGCGCACGCGAACAACGGCGCGCGGGGGCCGAGTCGGAGGGCTCGGCTCGGCGCCGCGCACGCGCGCACGGCGCGCGGGCAGAGCGGAGAGTGAGCCCGGGAGGGAGGGAGAGAGAGAGAGAGAGCCGGGGAGGGAGGGGAAGATGGGCCGAGAGAGATTCGGCCCATCCAACCCGGGGGAGGCGAAATAGACTTTTGCGGAGGGACTTTCGGGAAGGATTGTGATTCGGGATTGAACTCAACGATAGATCGGGGATTTGAGATCTGAGATGGCACGGACACTAGACATCAAGCAAAGAAACAGATTTCGCAAATAGGGTTTTTAAGAGATAGTTTTCCCGCTAGGCGCCACGACGGAACGGGCGCTACAAAAACAAAAGATATGGGTTCCCCGCAAAAAAAAAACAAAAGATATGGGTTGGGAAGATAAAGTGTCGAACTCAGCCTAAACACCCCATAGAAGTATCATGCCTCCGCCCCTCACTGCCCTATAACATGCCAAGGAGCCTCTCCAAAGTCCAAACCACTCAACTGTAGCGCCCGTTCCGTCGTGGCGCCTAGCGGGAAAATTATCTCTTAAAAACCCTAATTGTGAAATTTGTTTCTTTGATTGTTGTCTAGTGTCCGTGCCATCTCAAGATCTCAATCCCCGATCTATCGTCGAGTTCAATTCCGAATCCAAATCCTTCCAAATCAAATTCCTCCGCAAAAGTCTATTTTGCTTCCCCCGAGGTCGATGGGCCGAATCTCGCTCGGCCCATCTTCCCCTCTTCCCCGGCCCATCTCTCCCTCTCCCCCCCGGGCGCTCTCCCGCTCTCTCTCTCTCTCTGTCTCGCTCCCTCCCCACCCCGGCGCGTTCCCCCCCCCGCTCGCTGCTCGCGCGTGCGAGAGCCGCGCCGAGCGCCCCCTCCTCTCGCGCGAGCTCCCCGCTCGCAAAGCCGGCCCCGCGCGCCGTTGCTCGCGCGCGCGCCCGCGTGGTTTCCCGCCCGAGCCGCGTTGTCTGTGCCGTCCGCGTCGCCCGGTCCCGCTGCCCAGCCGCGCCGCCCGTTGCTTCCCGCGCGCGCGTGCCGAGTGGCCGACCGCCTGGTCGCCGC